CAACAGCAGAAAAAGTTCACAAGACAATACGTCGTAGTGTTGAAAATTTTTCTTCATCAATACATAAAGCACAATCAACTTATTCAACATGGATTCGATCACGTGCACAACAACGTGAACAAGCTCGAATGGATAATATTAAACAAGAAGAAAAACCAACTCGACATCCATGGCGTTGGACATTTCAACGTAGTCATGATCGTGAACAAATGCGTCATCAAACACCAGTAACAAAACTCCATTCATCAAATAAAGAACATGTTTGTCATTCAAAATATGAATTTCCTGTTCATCAATTATGTTCAATGAAAAATTGGATGGAAAAATTTTTTCGACCATAATATGCAAAATAAAACAAAGTTTAAAAAACTGATTTTAAAAATCTTTTTGGTGTTTTTTCATCCTGTATTATTTAAAAAAAAGCCTAGTGACTAACGTATTAATCTCTTTTTTTATATTATATACTGTGTGTAAATATATTCATTTGACCTGTAAATATTAAAAATGTCGATGTTTGTTAGAACAAAACAATCTTTCCTTTTTTTTTGACATTAAAATATATAATAAAAAAATAAATTACAATTATTGTAACTTCTAGATGGCTACTAACACTGGTGGAGCAGATGCAGATGATGATGCATTTGACGCTGATGATGATCGATATGATACACTTGTGCTTCCACCTGACGTACAACAAGTCATTGATCAGGTTAGATTATTGTAATTGTTATACGTATATGTTATGAGAATAAGATATATCAGCTATTTTGACTACTACTATAGATAGATACTGAAGATTGTAATAATATCAGTATTTGATCAAGGATATTTAAAATGAATTTATTGAAAATTTGTAAAACAAAATTAATATTTATATATTTTTTTTTATATAGATTTTACCAAGTACAGATGAAATAGATCGAGCCGATTTCAATCCTGTTGATTATATAAATCAATTATTTCCAACTGAACAATCTCTTACAAATATTGATGAAGTCATTGGAAGTGTCAAGTCAAAGATTCGTTCACTAGACAGTGATATTCGTTTAACTATACGTGGTCATTCTGACACTGGAATAGATGAACATAAAGCATTAGAAGAAGCACAAAATTCTATTTTATTATTATTTCAACAAATGCGTGAAATTAAAGATAAAGCTGATAAATCAGAAGAGATGGTTAATAAAATTTATTTTTATTATTATTTTTCAATAATATTTATTTTCGATATATATAGGTTAAAGAAATAACACGAGATATAAAACAACTTGATATAGCAAAAAAAAATCTTACAACTTCAATAACAACACTTAATCATTTACAAATGTTAATAGAAGGAATTGATAGAATTGAAATGGCTATAAAAAAGAAATCATATGGTGATATAGCAAATTTACTTCACCCTGTTATAAGTGTATTAGAACATTTTCAACCCTATATAAACATTCCACAAATACAAGAATTATCTACAAATGTTAAAGAATTAACTGCTCAAATAAATGTACTAGTTAGAAAAGAATGTGAAGATGCATTTAATGGTCCTAATGCTAAAGTTTGTTATTTATCTTTCTTTTTATTTGGTTTTTATATTTTATTCTTATAGAATTTTACTCCTAGCCAACATTTTTCAGACGTATGTAAAATAATTGATGTTATTGATTCCAAATTAAGGTTTGTTATTGAAATATTTTTTTTTGATTATTTAACATTATTTGTTTTGTAGATTAGACGTAATAAACTGGTTTTTAAAAACGCATTTATCTGAATATACAATATTATATCAAGAATCTCAAGAACTAGCATGGCTAGATAAAATTGATCGCCGATATGCTTGGTTAAAACGTGCACTTGTTGAGTTTGATGAAAAATATTCACGAATATTTCCAGCTCATTGGGAAATGGGTGAACGATTAACGGTTGAATTTTGTAAAATAACTAGGTAAAAATTTATTTGATTTAACATAAATAAATTTTGATTTTTATATTTCAGACGTGAATTAGGCAATATAATGTTGAAACGTAAAAATGAAATTGATGTTAAATTATTACGATTTGCTATTGAGAAAACAGTTGGATTTGAAACTATTGTTGAAAAACGTTTTCCAGGAAATACACTTGATCATGCAACTAACACAATAACGAGTCATCTTAATGGTATGTTTAATGAAAACGAAATATTGTTTATACATTAGTTATTATCCTGTAGTAAAGTTTATGTCATCTGACTGGAAATTATAAATAGTATGATCTTTACCTCATATAAAACTAATATTTTTCTTTAATAATGATCGATACAAAAGTGAATTCGATTTCGAATTTAAGCATTCTTCTATTATGAAAGTCACATAGAATATTTTATATGAATTTATTTTTTCTAGTTAGAGTAACAAATCCAATTGAAAGTGATGATCTAAACTTAACAAATAATCTTAAACCGAAAACATCTCCATTTCAAGGAATAATATCTCAATGTTTTGAAGATCATTTAGATATATATATAGCTGAATTAGATCGGTAAATAAAAAAAAAATTCAATTGTATTTTGTTTTTATCTCATATGAATCGTTTTTCTTTCAGAAGTTTAGCTGATCAAATTCAAAAATTTGTTGATGAACATAAAAAAGATGGTTATCCAGTATTTGAAGGTGGTGAAGATACAAGTAATGTTTTACCGACTAGTGCAGATCTGTTTGTTTATTTTCGTAATTGTCTTGTACAATGTTCGAAATTAAGTACTGGACAACCATTATTATTACTTGTACAAACATTTCAAAAATATTTACGAGAATATGCTAATCGAATATTAACAGCTAATTTACCAAAAACGAATACAACAGCATCTACTTTAGTTGGTACTGCAACAATATTTATACAAAATTTACCAAATATTCCATCACTATTAAAAGAAGGTGAAACAATAGCAAAATTAAATGAACCTGAAATATGTCGATCCTGTAGTGTTTTATGTACAGCTGAATATTGTGTTGAAACAATTCAACAAGTAGAAAAAGAAATCTTTATATATATATATATATTTAGAATTTTTTGTTTCTTTTTAGTTAGAAGATAAAATGAAAGAAAAAATAACAAAATCATTAGTAGATAAAATTTCATTTGAATCGGAAAGAAATGTTTTTAAAGCGTATGTTATTATTTTGTAAAGAATTTTATTTTATATTGATTATTATAGAATTATTGCACAATCTATACAAATATTAATTCAAGATCTTGAAAATACTTGTGAACCAGCATTAACAGCAATGACAAAATTATCTTGGCAAAATATTGAAACAGTTGGTGATCAATCTTTATATGTTACATCAATTATTAATCATTTAAAAACAACTGTTCCTATTATACGCAATCATTTAGGATCATCAAGGAAATATTTTATACAATTTTGCACAACATTTGTTAGTTCATTTATTCCAAAATTTATAAATCATTTATATCGTTGTAAGCCGATACAGATGATTGGGGCTGAACAACTTTTACTTGATACACATTCATTAAAAACAGTTCTTCTTGATTTACCATCTATAAGTTTAACTGTTTCAAGAAAACCACCACAAAAGTAAATTATTATGAATTAAAATTTTCTTTTTTACAATACATTCTTTATTTCATAGTTTTACAAAAATTGTTCTTAAAGGAATGACAAGAGCAGAAATGATATTAAAAGTTGTTCTTACACCACATGATTCTGCTAGACAATTTGTGAAAAATTATTTACAATTTATGAATAATGATGGTGATATAGGTTCTTTTCAAAAAGTACTTGAAATGAAAGCCATTCGAAAACCTGATCAAAGTCATTTAATAGAACGTCTTAAAAAAGAACATGCAGCAATTCTTGCTAGCCATCAACAACAAACACAACAACAGTGATTCTTTTTCTTCTTTTTTTTTCGTTTTCGTTGGCGTTTGTCTGTATGTTTACCTATTTTATTGTAACTTTTATTGATTTCTCTAAACAAAATAGACACATCTGATTTTGTTATATAAATTATATTGAAATATTAACTCGATTATTTATTTCAAATTGTAGCAGAGAATACAAGGTTTTCGAATCAAGATTTCTAAAGATCATATTAGTTTTTTCAAATTTATTAAAACAAAAAAAAAATACTTACAGAAAAAGCGAGGGGGGAGTGGGCGGGAAGAAACTAAACCGTTGTTTCTTTAAGATCCCCACCACCACCAAGACGACGACGATCACTTCCACCATCCCGGTTTTCACCACTACGGCGGCAACTACCACCACTTTCTGAGTGTCGGTCTGCGCTCCCTGCTTGTTGGCGTACTCTCTCCGAGCGGCGGCCTGTGCTCTATGGATGTTCGGCACCTAAAGCGGGGGTTTGCGCCCTCGATTGCACAACTTATGCTATTATAAAGAAAAATAGTACATAAATTTAATTATTATAAAAACCAACATACCAAGGACGATCGATAGCGGTGACTTGGCAGATCCTCAAGTGGTGGTGGTGTCGGTAGGTCATCATTGAACACCTCGTTGCCGATCATCGAATATATGTGCTTTTCTTCTTTTTTTTTTATCAGACATCTAAAAATAAAAACAATATATAAAATTTATATCATTTGAATAAAACAAAAAGAATTTTAACATTTTCATTAAAAGTAAATAGTTTAAATGACGAGTGATTCAATAAAAATGGAGAAATAAATAAGAAAAAGATAATAGTTGTATCTCTCTCCTTCTTTGGGATCGTACCAGAGATGTACATTAGAATTAAATGATTCGTTAAATCAAAAGAGGTAGTCTTGTTCAGCAGGATCTTTCTTATTTATACATACATTATAATAGATGTTGACCATCGCTAACAACAAATTAAGTTAAGAACTATATTTTGTAATATAAATGCTTCAATATTTTGTAAATTGGAATGATGAAATTAATTGGTTGCTCAAAAGTATACTTCTGCATTATTTATATATATATTTTTCTCTCTATATCTTCGAGTTGATCGAGTTCATGTCACTATGATGCATGAAAAATCTGTAGAATCAAAATAGATATTCTCTATTACTAATGAATTTTATCTCATGATACCAAATATCTCTATTGATTGACTATCATTTTGTAGTTTGTAAGTTAAATTCAGGGAAAAAAGGTAAATCTATCTCAAATTTCATAATAATTTCAACAAGTAAATTTGTAAGAAATGACTATTCTGATCTACTGATGATTATCAATTTACATTTATATATCACTGATATAACGGTTAATAACACCCATAATAAACAATTAGTACCGATAACAATCTACTTCAAAAGACAAGCTCAAATAATTCGATACTTTTTAATTTGAAACTAATACCTATACAAAACACTTTCAACATAAAAAATGTGGAGAGCGGATGCACATTGATCAAAAGTAACTTCGACACCTTATGAACAAAAGGATCCATAAATCTTTCTGAGTAATCAACATGCATAGTATCATCTTCAAGGAAAAAATAGTGGACTTCGATCTCGTGAGGTGCTCTGAAGTTCGTAAAAATATGATGAGATATCACCATCGGAATACACACTCAAATGAGCTATAAGAAAAGATCTATTTTTTTGTATTGATTTTGATTATTGTTATTGTTACAGTTTGACTGTTAGCATAAGATTATGGGTAAGAGAATGATCAGGTATAAACAAGAAAAAAATTAAAGTTATTCATGTTTTGCTACAATTATTAGACATCTAAAGTTGTAACTAAAACTTTGTACTATCGTTGTTTCGTATTACTAAAACAATGCCTCGTTTTCACTACTTATAGGTGAACCTATGCTGACAAGCTCAAGTTAGATCAACAGATAAAAATGAGAATCAGACGTGAAATCATTTCTACTAACATTTTTAATTTTTAATGAAAACTGAACAAATTATTTTATATTACTTCTCACATCATATACTATGTTTAATACAAATAGTTTACTAGTGACCTCTTTCAGCCATTTAAAGATTGCATCATTTCAATAAACTTGTAAAACTAAAATTCAAAAATTCAAAATTTATTCTTCGATTTGATATTTATGATATATATTTGAAAATATATGTTATTATTGGTTAACCTTATTTTACACCAAATAAGCGTTAACCATTCATTCGATTCATGAAAATGATGTATGAAAAAAATAGATCATTACAGTTATTCTTATCGAACAACAATTTCATTTCTTGTAACAATCAATCATTCAATTAAAATAAAAAGAGAATAGAATGTCAAGAACATCGATTATTAAAACAAAAATTGGTGTACATTGGAAGAATTCAGTAGCAATTGGTGTATCATCTCCAAGTAGTCCTCGTCATCCTAAACTCATTGAACTTGATCCAGTTTGTAATAAATATTTTAATCTATATCTAATTAATTTCTTTTTCTAAAGAATATTCCGCTTAACGATTATATTTCGAAAATATGTGATGAGTACGACTAAAAAACATAATCTCATTTTTAACAATTCATCTTATATTTTATAGTTGGAAAATTCCTCGATCAAATTCCATTCATTTTGCACTTCGATATGATGATACTCATAAATTCGTTACTGAGCAAGTAAAAAGAAAGTTTTTGTATTTTCTTTTATCATATGAATATAATTTAGAATCGTTCACAAATTCCAACTGGTCAAGTTTTCTATCTTTCACTTTCACATGTAAAACTAAGTTATTATTTTATTAGACAATTCTTATTTTTGTTTTTATAAAAATACAGGAAGATGAAGTTCAAGATATAATAAAATATCTTTCATCCAATGATTATCATCGATATGATTCAATTGCACTTGAACGATTAAAATTAGCTGGTGAAGATGAAACATTTGCACTTGAATTTGTTGAACAAAAAGGTCTTGATTATTTATTAAAATTATTTATTCACGATGAAAAATCAAATAAGTTAGATGAATTTATTTTTTAATATTTTGAATTCTTATTCTTGTTAATATTTAGTTATGAAAATTTTACATCGAACTTACTTCGTTCACTTCACAATATAATGATAAATCAACAAGCTATTAACTGGGATAATCTTCAATCAATTGATACAATTATTGATCAAGTAAAAAAAACAAGAGAATTTAATATAGATAATCATTTAAATATATATTATCTAGTTGATATCTGGTATCAATTATTCCAAAGTTCCTCGATCACATTCATCTTCAGCAATGATGATTCTTTATTCAATTATAAATCATGAATCAAAATATTCAACAAAAATTATTCAAACACTTGAAATAACACATTTACTTGTTTATTGTAGCAAGTATATATTTTAATGCTAAATTAATTCTTTTACAAATCAAACTATTATATGTATATATAGACAACATGATATGGAAACACAATATTATGCATTAGCATTAATTAATATTATTATGAGTAAAGGTAATCAAATACTTCGTTCTGTAAGTAGTCTTATCTTTCATTCGAATAAAATCTTGACAAAGAAAAAACTTTAATTTTAGTCATTACTTACAGCTATGTCAAATACAGTGGTTGCAATACGTCTTCGTGAATTAGTACAATCAATTATAAATAGTGTAAAATTATTATTTTCAATTGTTTTCTCTGATAATTATATTTATTATAGGATGAACATTCGAACAATGATTCATTTACATCTCTCGATACGATTACACTATCAACACGAGTTAGTATTTTGTTAATGTATATAGAACATGAATACCTATACATAGTTTAATCTTGAGTAGAAACATCTCTTTTTCTCGTAGCTAAAGAAAAAATGTCTGCAATCAAAAAGATATATCATCATAAAGTTTAGAAAATAGACAGAAATCTTTATCTAATTTAAAGTGTCTGATAACATTATTAAGCATTTAAAACAACTGAATTTATCATTCGTTTTTTTAAATCTATAATTATAGCATCTCAGTCGATCTTCACTTATTCAACAACTGTGTCTTTTACAAAGATTTTATCTAAATGAACTCTATACCGATGCAATGAATACATTACCAGATCGATATGATACGGTTAGAATTTGAAATGAATTAAAATATTTGTTATAGATTTTAATAAACTTATATAGAAATATCGTGATATGATTTCGGAATTACGGCGAAGTGCATTTGATACAGATTTATTATTATCTGAACAGAGTTGTCAAGATTTAAATGCTCGAGTATCGTCCGTGAGTATGAATGAAACAATAACAAATCCTCGACGAGTTGAAGCATTACAACGAGATTATGAACGACTTGGATTTCAAGTAAAACATATTGTTAAAACAATAAGAAAGAATTTTATAAAAATTGTTTCGTTTTTTAGGATCTTCGAGAACCAATAAAAGATTTTCAAATAATTCCATCTGGTATTTTATCTTTACAAAATTTATTCTATTTTTGTATTCATCAAAAAAATGATTTTATTCGAGTATGTATTCAATTCAAGTATACATTCCTCTCATCGATAATTTTTCTTATATTTAGTTTGTTCTTGAAAATTCATGTAAAACACTTCAACAACAATGTCCATTAGTTAAATCAGCTATTGAAATTACACAAATCCTTTGTACACTTTTTTCTATTGGTGTTGAACGTAAATATATATATTTCTTTATATCAAAAAAATAAACGACAAAAAACATTTGTATTCTTTAGCAAACAGACATCAAATACATAAAGATTATTTTCTACTTTTTTACATAATTTCATCATTTTTCGAACAAGCATTTGTTCGTTGTTTACTTTTATTCAATAAAACATGGAAAGAAATGCGTGCTTGTGATGTCGATTTTCAAGTGGTATGATTTCGATTTTATATAAAAATTTTATTTTATTTATTTAATTTTTAGGTAAGTTCAGTTGTATATCAACAAATTTCTCAATCACTCGATGATATTTCTTTAACAAATTCCTCAACAATCATATTAAATAAAACATTAACATCATCTTCAACTAATCAAATAATATCATCACCAATAAATAAATCAATATTAAATACATCTTTAACATCAGTTACTTTACAAAGATTTACATTTGATTATTTTTCGGAAAGATTAAATACAAATAATTATAAAGATATATGTAAACGACGTGATGAAAAAGAATTAAAACGAGAAGAAACAATTATGAAATTACCTATTGTTGAGTAAGAATATTATATTTCGATGAAGTAAAAAAGTAAAATTTCATTTTTAGAACATTAAAAGAACGTTTAAGACCTCATGTTGAATCATTAACACGCCAAGCTCGTCTTAAAACAATGAAAAAAAGGTCAAATATTTATGACAATTGAAAGTCGCCCTGGTGCGAAGAAAACAAAAAGTAATTCTAGAAAAATTATTTTCCATTTATTTATCTATTCGTGTATATTTATAGATCGTTTAATGTATTGGCAATTACTTGATAATGAAAAACATGTACAATGTAGTGAATCATCAACATCAACAACAATAAAAGAAAATAATTCATCATCAACAAGTCTTACGAGAACAATGAGTATGTTATTGAAAATTGATTCTTATGGTTTTTACTTTATCGGACATTTTTATTTATTTAGTTTCTATTGAAAATATCAAAGATGTTCAATGTAATATTGATCAATCTCGTTCAGGTAGTTTTACAAATCAAGAACGTGTTCCAAAACTTCCTCGTCATGTAAATAATCTATTAGATTAATAAAAATAAATGAATAAATTTTGTATTTTAATAGAGTAATGCACATACAAGTGTAACAATTATTCTTCAAAATGATACAACATATACATTATTATGTGAAAATGATTATGATATGTCATGTTGGAGTGATGGATATAACATACTTTTACATAAAGAAGTAAAATTAAATATATAGAATTTTTGAAATTTATTTGTATTTTTCTATTTAATATAGATGGATAGTTTTTATACTCGAGAAGATATGGAATCATTATTAAATTTACTTTGTCAACTTCAAATATTAGAATTAGATAGTCCATTAATAACTCTACCACAATATCAATTATCTGTTCCTAGTCGTTTACCACCAATTCGTCCTCTATCTTCAACATAAAAATTTCTTTTTTCCTCTTCTTCGAATTCAATTATCAATATTTAACAGAAAAAAAAATAAATTCTAATTCATATTTATATATATTTCATAAATTGTACATTAGTCAGTTATTTTTAGATTCGTTCATTATTATAATAATAAATAAAACAATGGATTTATCGATTCGTAAACAAGAACAATCTCCAACAATTCCTTCTCGACCCATATTAAATCCAGCAACATCAACTAGTTTATTACAAAATTCAACTGGTCAAAATTCTCCTCATATTCCAATACCTTCTGTTTCTGCACATAATTCTAATCATAAACAACAATTTATTCCTATTCCTCCAGTTATACAACAACAACAGCAACAACAAAAACATCGTATTATACATCAATCGAAATATGCTCAATTACTTAATGTTATCGAAGAAATGGGTAAAGATATTAAACCAACATATGCCGGAAATAAAAATTCCGCCGAACGTTTACGACGTGCTATTGCATCAGCTCGTATTTTAACTCGAGAATGTCAACTTGAATGTGATCGAAATAATCGTTCTTAAATGACAAACAATGTTTTTTTTTGTATATAAATAATATTTGTTTATTATAATTCTTATCCAAGATAAATAAAACATAGTTTTCTTTTCAATAAAGAATAATGTAAACAATCAATATTATTATATGTATTCTTGGTATGTGCATTTTTTAAGAAGATATAAGATTTCTTTTTTTTTCTATGGATTGTCTGCACTAATATTGCCAAATTTTATTTACTTATTCATTTTACTAACATAAAAAGAAATACAACAATAAATTACTGTTTTGAGATTTTGTTTTGTTTTTTTGAAAAATCACAACAATGGACTTTTTATTGTTCGTTGTAAGGATATTAATTTTTCTTCAAGTTCTTCGGGTTTAAATACACCATGTTCGGTTATAATACCAGTTATTAATTGATTAGGTGTTATATCAAATGCTGGATTCCAAACTTGAACACCTAATAAACAAGAAAAATAGAGTATTATTATTATTATTGAAATTTTACCTTCAGCTGCTATATTAATTCCTTTAATAGTAGTCATTTCACTTGATGGACGTTGTTCAATAATAATTTCATTACCTGTTCGTTTTGTTAAATCAATGGATGTTGTTGGTGCAGCAACATAAAATGGAATTTCATGATATTTAGCAAGTATAGCTAATTGATATGTACCAATTTTATTTGCAGTATCACCATTTGCTGTTACACGATCAGCACCAACAATAACAGCATGTAATGTTTGTGTTCGCATTAAAAGTCCAGCCATTGAATCACAAATCATTGTATGTGGAATACGATCATGTACTAATTCATAAGCAGTTAATCTTGAACCTTGATTATATGGTCGTGTTTCAGTAAAATAAGTTAATTGAAGATTATTATCTACTGCTAATTGTCGAATAACTCCAAGAGCAGTACCAAAACCAACAGTTGCTAATGAACCTGTATTACAATGTGTTAAAACAGTTAATTTCTTTTTATCTTTTACATTCTGACGTATGGCTTCAGCACCATATTTACCAATAGATTGATTATTATCAAGATCACGCTGAAGAAATTGTTCCATAAAATCAAGTAATTCATTAATATATAATGTTACATTTTGTTGTTTATTATTTAATGGTATTAAATAATCAATAATTGTTTTAGCAGCATCAGTCATATTAACTGCTGTTGGTCTTGCTGTTATTAAATAATTAAGTTGATCTGTAACAAATTGTAGAATAGATGAGATTGAATCAAATTTTGATCGAGAATGATATAATTCAACGGCAACACTTAATACTCCACATACAGCAATTGCTGGCGCACCTTTATAATAGAAATTTTATGAATATTAACTTTATTTTTTGAATATTCTATACCTCGAATTGACATTGTATGTATTGCTTTCCATGCGTCAGCACCTGTATTAATAGATATATAAACTGTTTCATCAGGTAATTTTAATTGATCGAGAATTAATAATGAACCACGTTGATATTGAATAGCTTTTAATGGCTGATCGATTTCCATTGCTAAAAAATATAGAAGAAAAATAAACATTCTATTTAAAGAAAAAGTATTATCTTCAGCAACGTTGTTTTATTTTATTTTAATTCACGTTATACTCGCGAATATATAGATATAAATATATATTAAAGAAGAATGAACAACCACAATAACAACAGCAGCATAAAGTAATAAGAAGCTTATGAAAGACAAAAGACAAAATTAAAGCAGTTTTTCAAAAAAATAACACAGCAGCAGATCACTATAAAATAGCTAAAGTTTATTATCTGGTATGCACTCATATATCCTTATATTTGTTGTTGCTATAAAGATTAATTTTGTTTTTTATGGAGCAAGTATATCATCATCACCACGTAGATCAGGTCCGGAATCATCAAATATATATCCTGATCTTGCTGCATCTGTTTTACAACGACAACAAAAATTACATCCATCAGCAGCTAAATTGCCTAATTTACGCCACATATCTAAATTTGGAATTTGATCAATGCCACGAGCACCACGTTGTATACGCATATAGAAAAATCCACCAATTAAATAAGCACTAGCTAAACATAGAATACTAAAAAAAGAATATTAAAAATAACGGATAATTATTTGAAATTAAATATAGTAATTTTACATGATGATAAATATGGCACCACCACTCATTTTGTTTTTTACTTGCACTACGGATGTACACAGTTCAGCGACTTGAAATTGAAACACATAATTACAGCTTTCTTGAATCACTGTAATATTACCCTAACAACAACAAAAAAAGAAAGAAAATAACTAGTTTTAATATCTATTTTAAATACATATCATTCTTAAATAGCGATGTTTTTATTGAGACATACTATGGGTATTATTTTTATTTATTGTTTTCAATGAAAATACCAAAAGGCATAAATCCTAAGGAATAATAACAAAGAATTGTTCACTGTTTTTTAACGATGTAACCTGTTTTTCTTTATAGATTTTTATTTTGTAAGGTTTTAAACAAAAGAAAACTTATATCTTACTGTTTTTTTTCCACAAATAAATAGAATTGAAGCTGAACGTGTTTTATTTTCACATTGATTATGAAATCGACTACCATTTTCATATGTTAAAAGTATCCAATTATCTATAATATAATAAATTAATTTGAAAAAACTAAATATAAAATAATATAATTAACCTTCTCCGACAAGATTCGATTGACTTAATTGTCCGAGACTAGAAGATGAATTAGTTAATTTTTGTATAATAGCATCTCCATTATTTATTGAATTATTAGGCGTTGAACAAATTCCAATTTCATATGTTGATGTTTTACCCTTTACTTGATAGCTAAATATATAGAATAATTAAATAACGATTAATCTAATAATAAATCCATTTACGTTTTATTGTAAATTTTCCATTTTATCAATTTTTCTCGAGCAATCTTTGACTCATCATCTGATGGAGAATTACAATTCGCATTGATTGATCCACAACAGATAAGTAAAATCAAAATGATACGATTCATTTATATATTAAGAGATATGAAACAATAATCTAAAAAATGATTCATTGATTGTAATCTTTTTCTTTTTATCAATTCTATGTTTCAATGATTGAATAATAAAGAGAGGAAAAAAAACATTAAATAGTATTTTTCGTTTCTTTCTTTCTTTTTTTTTTATTGCGTATGTCATCAATTCTATAGAACAAAATAAGATGAAAGAATCAGAAGGGAAAAAAAGTGTATGACTTATACCGATTATAATAATAAGCTTAACTATGATGTGTTCAAGGTTAGTTCAAACAACCCATAAATATCTATAATAATGTCGTTTATTATTTTTATTTTTCTTACTTTTGCATGTCAATCTTATCGATCATCATCTGAATAAAATATTCATTTGTTCTCCTTCTCTCTTTTTTTTCTCTATATATATGGATGAATATTTGCAAACGAAAAAAAATTGACATCCTACAAAAGAAGAAAAAAAAAGAAAATCTATAGAATCATTTTTCTATCTATTCCATTTATAAGATGTCTGGTGTCGAATGTCTTAAAGAACAGATTTCTTCTTTTTTTATTTCAAGGTCATAAAAAGAAGGCAAAATAAAACTTGTCACTTTTCTTTATATAACTGTAATGAATCAACTTTACCTTTTTTTTTCAGAGTAATAATGTCAACAACAACTACACAACATGATTCTTTACACGAATCACAAACAAAATCTGATCGTATACAGATGCCAACTAAAGAAATACGACAACGAGTAGAAGATCGACATTGGCAATTATTTGAAGCACGTTTAAAAAAACAATTACCTGAAGTAAATAAAGAAAATCAAGTTCATTCAAATGATTATCGTATTATTAATCGTTTAAATAAATTCGATCAACCACAACCACCTATTGAACCTAATCGACGATGGGAAGAATTTTGTCATCAAGTTAAAACTAAATCCAATGAAACTAATCGTGTTATGTCTATATTTCATAATGTATGGATGAAAAATTGGAATATAAAACAGACAGATGATGCACAAAAACGACGTATGACTGATACAACATTAAATGAAAATAATTTTCTAAATCAACTATCAACAAATGATAACGATCGTAAATTAATTTCATCGATTTTACATCGAACTACCTCATCTGAAACATGTTCTTCTAATAAAGATAAGAAAAAAAGTATAATCTGAACTTTTGCTTCTTCCAGGTCTTTTTTCTTTTCTATCTCTCTCTCTCTCTCTTTATTTTTATAATAAAGATAATTGGATGTATTTTTTTCCCGTATATTAATTATAAGATATTAATTTTCTTTTTCTCATGAAAAATTATTTTGAAGAAGTTTCAATGAGTTTTTACTTAGAATTTATTAAATAAAAAAGAAAAAAAGAAACACGTTGTTTTCATTTTCTTTCATCTGTCTATGATAACTTTTTTTTTACTATATGTCAAAGAAAAAGATCTGCTCAGATAATGAAACAAGATTATCAAAAAATGACTTAAATATTCTATGGAAAACCATTGACAAATATAACTTATCAACATGATATCACAAATGTGAGGATAAAAAAGAAAATGATGCTAATATAACTGATGGTTAGAAGTATTTAAATCCATTAATAGACAGATGGTAAATTATTGTTGATCCGATTTTACTCAAATCCAAAATGTGTCGAGAGAGGTCGTATTTATCGAGATTTAATATAATCTACTAATTAGAATCGACTAAAAATCTTTCAATATATATATTTCTTTCGTTAAAATCAACTCAATCTATATCGCTATACATTTTTGAATAAATATCTATTTTTAGTAAATAAATATTCTCTATGCTGAATTAATTTAAGAATATTTATATGTAAAAAACAGATTATTATTATTATGTAGGAGTTTTATCAAAGAGTAATAATAATAATAAACAAGAAAGAATCCTACAAGTTTTTATTTTTATATGAATTAATCTATAATATTTGAATATCTTTCAACGAATATAATAATGATAAAAATTTCAGTACAAGTATTTTTTTTACTGTTCGAAAGAGAAAAAACTGAAGCAGACCTGTATGATTTTGATTGTTCTTTTAGAAAATAAATTTATATTGTAATATATTTACTGCTTGCCATATGTGCATTTAAATGATCAGTAGAAGATTGACAAAACTGTGCCATATTCAAATATTTACAATTAGTCTAGCAATAGTTGCAATGATTCTGATGAAAATTGTAAGCCATTTTATCTATCAATCTTTATGAAAAATATCAAGTGTTTTGTTTTATTTCCTTTTGTTAAAAAATATTTTTCCGGTATGTGTAAAATGTATTGAATAAACTCCAACAAATATATTAAAAAATATGATGATGAATAATTTAACAGTGATAAATCATAACTTTATAAAAATCAATTCAGATAATACTCATTTATTCTTTTGGTTGAAAAAAAAACTTTGAAACAGCTGGCAAAGATCATAGAAAAACATATATTCCATGATTTTCATTATTCATTCATAGAAAGAGTCAATTTTTTGTAAGCAAATAAAGTGTCTTTGATAATTGATTCTGAATAGATGTAATTCAAATCGTATTCAATCTAAAGGATATATGATATTTATTATTAAAATTAATTTATCATAGTAGAATATGAGAAAAGGGCATATCTTCTTTCGGAAATTATCCAATAGCAAAATTTTCTTTCTGTATATATTCTAACCTTAAGATCTTATTTCTGTTTTTACATTGTATGACCTGGCTTATATAAAACAATTGTAATATAATATATTTTTAGAAAATCTTCTAAGGTTACGTTATTTGACCTGCCAGAAAAGAAAAAAGATACGCTCTTAGAGCTCTATCTTAATTAATTTTCAAAATAAATTTTATAATAAAAAATATTTCTTATCATACATTTATTAATAAGTTTGCAAGTAGTATTTTTATTTATATACATTTTCTTTATTCACTTGTTATAATTATTTGAAGTTGAAAATTTCTTAGTTTCATGATATCTTTCAGAGAAATGATTAATGAAGGAATGAGAATATATAATGCTCATATTTATGTATTGTGATCGAAAAACATGTTTTTCCATATTAAATATGTAGCAATCATTCTCTTCAAATGTGTTATATCTCGGTCATAATACATTGCAAAAAAGAATCCTTTGAAGTATTTCCTATAACTGATGATTACTTCTCTTTCGAGACAAAGAAATCAGCATTAAACATTCTAATAACTTGAATAATCCGTTTTTTTTCTTTCTTCTTAGATGTTCTCAGAACATGACCTAAAGCTAAAAATCTGTTCACTGCACGCTTTATCCAATAACAAAATAATCTGATACAAAAACAAACATTTGTCCAAAAACTAGCTGAATACTCATAAATCTTTATATCTGATATTTACAAAGAAAATACGTCGAGATACCTACATCTAGGATAAATTCGCAATTTTTGTTTACATATTATATCTGTCCACAATACTACAACAGCCCGAAATAGATTGAAAGACTTTTATACCAAATGAAAAGAAAATTACTAGACACTTCTACTAATGTTTTTTTAAACGATGCATATATATATATTGATATCTCAAAAATTGTTATATTTATAGAAATTGTCCATGTTGACATACAATGTTGTCATATTTATTAATCTGTCTTCAATACACATTCGTCTTTTTCATATATATATTAGTTTTTTTCTCATTATCAGCTTTCTTAATTCATTTTTGCAGCTAGTCGTGTCTTATCTTTTGTGTACATAAATACGTCTTTCTTATCAATAATAACCTTGTAGGTTTTAGTGTGATATTAGTATTGTTGATTTTAGGTGATTAATCAAAATCAAGATTTCTTATGATTATTAGAAGAAGAATTAGTGTGACATTATTTTCTTAAATTTTAAAAAAACTCAAGTATTGATAACAATATAAGACGAAGTTTCGAAGTCAATTATATAAACATGCAAATGAAGTATTCATTCTTATGCTTCATTTTAGAAACACTTCAAAATAAAGCTCTTATTAATAGTAAAAAAAAAATCTCATTAAAAACAACTATTCCTTCTAGTCATTTTTGTTTCTGTATTCTGCCTACTAAAGAAAAATATCTATTATTAGAAATCGCATATGAGAAAAATTTCTCCTGAGTATATGAAATAATGGAAACTATTTGTAATCAATATTAATTAAATTTTTTTGATACATGAGATTTTTTCCAATAGTTCTCTTTTTTTTACTATATATCATTTTTTATGAATGAAATTCTTTCTTATTTTGAAGTATAATAATGAAATTAAAAGATTAAAATATATATATATATAAACTAATTTAGGTCATGAATGTATTTTTTCAATGATATTAATTAAGTCAGATGTTGATTTTTGTTTCAATGTTAAAATATAATAATTTTTAAAAACAATTATCACGGATGATGATTTGGATATCTTGAATTGTCATATTGATTATTAGCTATGATTCCTTGATGATGTGGCGTAGATAATGAATTATTATAAAATTGTCGAACGTAAATAATTGTAGATATTATAATTAATAGAAGAAAAACAAGACTAATACTAGCGCCTATATAATAATAAAGACGTTGATCATTTGAACCTTTAGTTGTTGCTCCAAAATAAAATAAAACAGCAGTAATAATAACGATAATAAAAGCAAAGAAAATAAATGCATGAATACATCGTTCTTGATCGCTTAATCGTGATTGAGATTCTGTTGTTTCACGACGTCGAAAGAAAAGCATAATTAATATTAATAATCTAGAAAAAAAAAATAATATTTTTTCTCAAAAAAAAAACACACAATAAAATAAAGGTTTATATTATTGTAATAGATATTAATATAGAACTATACATTGTTTTATTCGTTCTCAATCAATAATATCATCGTTAGCACGCTTGTCATAAACCACTCAATTGACATTCGTTATAAACATGTGCTCTTGTTTATGTTCGAGAAAGATGAGACGAGATCTCTATGCATCACAGATTAGCTGATGTGAAGGCGATGACATCGAACATCTTCTTATTATTACAGATTGCATTTGTCTGATTGCCAATGAAGAAAAGAAACTGAAAGAATAAGAAATAGCTCAGACCTGAAGCTTAAACAAAAACATTCTAGCGTAAGAAGAATCAGAAAGAAAAAACATTTTCATATTTATCATCGTTTCTAATACCATTCGAACATAATCAATGTATAAATAAAAGAAATATCTGTATCTATACTATTTTTCTAAATTATTTTCTTATTAAATAATATGTTAAATCAACAATTACATTAGATAATAAAATCGAAATGATACGTTCGCTTTTATTTTGTTATTCTCATCGCGTTAAATAAACATTTGAAAAAAAATAGTAGAAGTAATTACTTTTTATACACGAATAAATGTTGCATATTAAAAAAAAAGCCAATAGGGACAACAATGTCTCATTCACTTTAAGTATTCTTCGATATTATCAATAGTTCATTGTTTTTTCCTTCGACTCTTTGCCTTTTCTTTCTTTTTCTTCGTCTTCTTCAAAATGTTTTCTCGTCATCATTTACTTAGTAACAATTGACACAAGAGTCATACGGTGAGAAAATACATTCATATTATATATCGATCTAACCACATCAATCCCTTGTTGAAAAAACTTCGCGAAAGAATAGTGAGCCACTTAAGCTAACTTCTCTTTTTTTTATACTTACTCGTACGATTTATTTACATAAGTGTCACTAAATATCGTTAGTTACTTTGTGGACAAGAAAAGGCGATTTAGATAAACGTATAGATACTACACAAAAAATATAATGGATATCTGTTCCTTTCCGCAATAGACAAACAAACGTCAGAAGAGCAGTTGTTGAAAACCGTTGTCGAGTATTCTAAGAAATATAGAACACATTTTCTCTAATTGAATTACTTCGTCGATTCTATCATTTTAAAGACAAGGATATATCTATTGTTGCTGTCATATTTCATCTATATATTTTATCGTATATGATTTAATAAACAAATCTATGCATGTATTAACTTCTTTTTTGATCCAATCAAAACAAAATCTAATCGTGTTTATTTGAAAATAAATGACTTGTATTAAATAAAAGCTAAATTTATTTAAAGATCATCATAAAAAAAAGAACATTTTTGTATCTGACATACATTCATATGTATATACAGATTGGAAAAAAATGAAATCTAGATTTTGTTCTATTTGAATATATAACTATAAACTACATTTGTTTACTACATCCAAATTATATTCATCATTATTGGCATTAATTAAATGTGTTTTATTATGATAATCAATAAGTTGTAGTGTTATTGAATTAAGATCTTCATTCATTGAATAAGTTACTTCAAAGCGAGTTATGGACGTATTTGGTGCTATATCTTGTATAGTATCTAAATATTGTCCAATATCAGTTTGTAAATCACAGGCAAAATATTTAATTAATTCACGTATAACAGCACCATGACTCACAAGAAGGACATCGATATCAGAAAATTGATTTTTGTATGGCGAATGTAATAAACCTTTGAATAAATTTCGACATTTTTCAAAGCTACTATTTCGTGAAATAAGTGATGTTGATGATGCTATAGATTGTTGATCTGATTCTATAGAAGATACATCAAGTGCTGAATCAATTGATGAATCACATGAGCTTGTTATTGCTGTATTAGTAAGAAATTCAACTGGAAGATGTCCTGTTGATAATGAACGTTTTCGATTGGATTTAATTACTGTTCGTGGAGATAAAGTTAAATTTTCTGATGATACACTATGTGATAATGGTTGAGAACTATTTTCTTTTGAGGATGAATTAGATGTATAAGATTTTGCTGATGATGGCGTCGAAGAATTTGTACCAAATTTTTGAAGAAGTTCATCACATAATTGCCGAAAAAATGATACAGTACGATCACGTAGTTCACTTACACTTTCAGCACCGGGTGGTGTAAAACTAGCATAGGGTACGCCATTTTCTTTAGCTAATTCACGTAGCCATTGACGTGTACGACCTTGTGCAATACCATACCTCTTAAATTATTTAAAATAAATGATTCATTGAATGAATAAGAAAAAACGGAAGTAACTTACTCGTTCTCGTAATAAAGAATGAAATTGAATATCACATGTTGATACACGACTAATTGCACGAACATGACGAGCTGTCTGAAAATTAAATAATTATTAATTAGAAAAAAATTAGATAAATTTCGAACTTAAAATGTCCTCAACGAACAACTTAAAAAATCTATTCTATTAATAACAAAACGGAAGTAGTTATTACTTCTTCATATCAATGATCCTTCATTTTTCCATTAGTATATAATCAAGTATTAAACGAGCGCTTTTATTCGTGTCATTTTCTTTCTCGGTGAAAGTAGAAAATATCAAAACCAAAAAAGCGTTTTACTATAAATAGTATCTGTTTACTTTGCACACCGTGATTTGTATACTTTGAAAAGAATATAAATATAGATATTTATTACACTATAATTAGACATATATCAAAGAGTACAACAATGATAAGAGCAGTCTAAGTATATAATAAACTCATCATTTTTAGAAAGACTAAAAAAGAATTCGTCTCAAACTCATCTTTCAAATACGATAAGAAACGAAAGAAAAAACGGTAGACATACTTCTGCTGCACGTTTTAAATCACTTGAATAAATATGTGAAAAACGATGGTATTGAAGATGTCGACCAAGTGCTTGAGATTGTAGATAACCAATATTAGATAATTCAGTATCAGATAAACCTTGAATAATCCCATCGGCATTTGCATGTGTTTCAGCACTTTTAAAAAATAAATAAATAGAAAATTATATTTATAGTTATTCTATTTAAAGAGACTTACTGTCGAACAAGTGTTAAATTGAAACGAACATGATCGACATTTTTTGCACTTTGTAAAACTGTTCTATTATATAAATAAAATAATGAAAAGTTCAATAAATATAGAAATAGAAAGTTAACTAACCTCATTGTATTAGTTCGCGGATCTTTGGCTTGTTTCTTTTACAAAAACATGTTTTTATTATCTGAGACTATTCACGGTATATATGAAGGTGATGAAAACGTGTATTAGTCACGCGAACAGTGGGATTTTATTTTTGCAATCTCGTCTAAAACACGCACAACCCTACAAGAATGTCAGTCAGGCAGCGCGTGTCCATGCATATATATGTGTTTTTTCTCTTTCTCGTTTGTTTTCTTCTTTTCCGTTCTTCGTCACTATGCATCGTCATAAAAGAATAGTGCATAGCATACTAGGCGTCATCAACAGAGAAATAAATATCCAACCATAAAACGACAACTATTTTATAGCTGTCAATTAAATGATGAAGAACTATTTTACGAATAAACTGATTGACTTATCACGTTTCATTATTTTTTTGTCTAGGTTATTTTAACTTTAAATGAAATATGTATATTGCATCATCTATCAGATAGAACGTGTAAAAGAAAGAAAAGAGTAATAGTCACGATATTTCGATTACTGCCATATGAAGCACGCACAACTATGTCAACAGATGGATCGAGGCGTGAGACTCTTGAAGTACGAAAAAGAAAAGGCATGAAAATGATAAGTATCACACCTCCTGTTATTAAAAAATCTAAAAAAAACTAAGTGCATATAGTAAATTTAATCAAATAAATATAAGTCAAATTTTTCTTTTGTGTCCTATTTCATTGAAAGTACGATGACTCGTTCTATATGCTTGACAAAAGAACACTTCCTTTATTTTATGATTATTTCATCAATGCAGTATGACTAATATTTCATAATAATATATTCAAATGATGAAACTAGGAATGTATAACGAAATGAATGAGATCTTTATGAAATATTGTCATGATCAATAGGATATTTTCTAATATACTCACGCTAACATATTTATCAAATATAAAAATATTTCTTGAATGATCTGAAGTCTTATAACCATTTAGTTGTTGATGAAACTACAAGAATAAATATACTTCTTGTGACAAATGGTTATGTATTAACGTAACTTTTGTAGAAAAAATAGTAATGATAAAAATATCTAATATTATTATCTGTACCTTTTTTGTTTGACTGATAAAAATAGGGGGTAATGTCATGAGTCGCCGTACAGATGTCAATAGATTCACATACGTAAATAAGATCTACGTAATAGTCTACTTTTGTCTATTAGTTAGGTCAATTATTAAAAAGGAAAATAATAAATCTATTTTTCGTGATATTTATCAAAGGATTATTATTATTCGAATGTTTTCAGCTGTTATTTTTATGAAATATAAAAAGATCGATAAATGCGTTCTTGTTTTTTTCTCAATAAAATTAAAATAGAAAGTCACTTTCTATTACCAGATATGCATTGATAAGACAATGATGCGATAAAAATGAAAAAATCATGAATTACTGATGAATTTATATAATCATAAGTGTCTGCATTTTTTACTTTGTCAAGGTTGTATTCAGCTAGCGTAAGAAAAAATTTATGTAACTTACTTCAAAGTGATGAGAACAAAGGTAACTTGATATTACAAGAGAAAAAAGGAATATAATGCTATTAAATGATGTGTGACGAATCGGTATAATACTTATGATGACAAATATTTATATCTGATACACTTTAAGAAACTTATTGGTATTTGATTAATTATATATGTTCTTTTGTATCGTGCATAAAAATATAATATCATGAACAGTAGATAAAAAAAAGTAATCAGGTATTGTAATATAAAATACTACATACCAAAACTCTTCATACAATTGATTCAATCAAAATGATTTCAATAGTTAACATTCAAGAAGAACTTACGACTTTATTTGAATAACGCGCAATAATCTCTTCGGAGTCTATCGATAATTAGAGAAAAATATGTTATGACTTATGTACAAAACAATTCAATCAACATTGTTTCTATATTGTAGTTGTAGATCTATGAACTACAATGGATGAAAGCAGATTCATAAAGAAATAAATATTATAAAGTATTTCTTCAAATATTTTCGATTATTGATGTAACATATTTAGCTTAGAATCATATAGATTTAGTTTTTACAGATCATATACTATCTTAAACAACAAATTTAGTTTGTATTTTGAGAACGATGTAAAATCAAATATTAAATTGTGTTTCACGTATCTAAACATCAGTTATATCGAAATCTATTATTCGATAGTTTTAGCCAAAGTGCACTAGGATATGTAATTATAATAATTGTTATTGTTGTGAAAGGTTTCATATACTTTAGAAATCTTGTATAGATGGAGTAACTATGTTTTGTCTTGTCTCATGTCGTATATCATTAACTATTGATATCATGAAACAAACTATGTAATGAATGGATACAGAAAATATAATTAAAAAAATTAATGATGATTATTTCTATGAAAAATAACATGCAAACACCGAAAGTTCAAGAAGGGTACATTGTTAGTAAAGCTTTTTCCTTATTAGAAACCTCTTGCAACATTTTGTTTTCTCCAATAAAATAAAATCGAAGCGTCAAAAAGGTTTTAACATGAAAGGAGTTTGCAATTGATACTTTATATCATTCGTTTAGCAATGTATGATTTAATAAGTATTAAAATAACTTATTCAGAATGATAATAATCGATATGAGAAAATCAATTCTTATCTGGTTGTATCGGAAATCTTTCCGTGAAGAATAATGTTTTTTTTCTAAAATAAATATTATCATAAAGTCTGTTATGACAACTAGCATTATAGTATAAACAAAAAAAATTTTTTAGTTTTGCTTTTTTGCCAAATAATTAATGAAAGTAAATTCAGTATTAATTTATTTTTTTTCTCCTCTATGATTCGACAGAAATAATCAGCATTTATAGAATAAGAATAGACAAAATGAGTATATGTATATATATTTTTTTTAATAATCTTTTGCGCACATAAACGATTAAAAGAATGATATATTTGAAAATAAATCGATTCGAGGGTGGTTTTTTTCTTTTGTTTTTAATGATCCATAAATCCAGAATCGTATAGTTTTTCAATCAATGAGCCAAGACCTTGAGTGACAGCTTCTTGACCATATACTGGTATTTCTTCTAATCGACCATCATGTATCATTTGAACAACATTTTGAAAATGTGCAAGGTCATCGCTAGACATTTGTGTTTTTTCAGCAAAACTAGTAATTGTTTTTGCCACTTAATAAAACAAAAATCAAATTGTTAATATTTATATATCAGAAGAAAAATCTATTTACCTGAAAATGCTGATGCTAATATATCAAACCAATATGCATTGTTTTCTTCAATACTTTTTGAAATTTTATCACCGAATAAAAATGTAAATAATTTTGAACCATGTAATTGATATTCAGCTAGAAGGAATTTTTCAATATTTTCTTTAGCTGGGCGTTTAGCTATAATTAAGAAAAGGGAATATGTTTATTTAGTTTTTTTGTTTAATTATATAGATTTACCTGCGATACATGTTTCTTCGTTTTCATCAGTATTTCCTGGACAATCACCTGGATTACCATCGCAAATAAATTGAAGAGCAATGCATCGTTCACTTTGTGGACATTGAAATGGTTCTGATGGATCAATACAACCTACATATTCAATTTACATGAATGAATATACATATATTTGTCCCATATGAATTTTATTCTTAAATGATATACTCAATAGTTGTTACAATTGTTTTGTTGTATTGGATTATTATCTCAAGAGAAAAGAAAAAGATAACAAAATAACACGCACCTTTAAATTGATGAGTTGGATGTAAAACGTCATAAGGTGATGATGCGGCACGTGCATCAATTGCTTTATTTGCAAGCCATTTTTTAAATAAATGAACTCGATTATGATGAGGGTTGGCTAACCATTCTTGTTGATGACCATCATTAGCATTAATATCTGTGAATATTACTAACGATGAAATCAGAATAGCAAACAAAGATGGAATAGGTGTCATCATTGTTGTTGATAGTATGAAGTTTGTCGTGTAGAAGACTGAGGAGAATAAAAAGATATGCTAAAATAAATAATAAACGAACCTCGAGAGAAATGTAAAAACAAAAGTAGCCATGGGTTTTGGGAACATCTATCCCATCGTTACGTGTAGACGTAAAAGACTATACATTATGTTTTCGAGTTTAATAAGTAAAATATTGATTATAATAAAAACTAAATGATGTTTCACCTGTTTTCTAAGAAAACATAACGTCAGAAAGATAATTAGACAATAAAAATACACAAGAAATACAGAAAAAAGACCGATCACACACACCTTTCAATTATTTTACGTCTATTAAGTGTCACGCTATTATTTTAGAATTATAATATGTTCATATATACATGTTTTTATAAAATGAGAATCTATTTTTAACATACAAATTAGTACCTAGACAGCGGATATCGAATTATTCAACTGTAGATTAATAATAATGACACGCATATATAGAGATATGTATGATGTACAAATTGAAGTAACAAACTTACGTTAGTGATAAACGATTGTTACTGTTAAAGAGAAAAAAAGAAGTAAAAAGACGTATTTGTCTTTAAAGTAGTTTATTTATCAATGAAAATGAGAGAAAGAGAGTTAGTAATGTATTCTTTTTCTGTCTTCTTTGACGCACTATAGATCGGAGACAAAAAAAAAGAAAGTGCGCACAATAAAAATAATCAGCAAAAGTAATTTCTCTCTTTTTTTTCTCTCATTCACTAACATCAATGTGTTGTATGTAGATGAATGGATAAAACCTATGATTGTTCCTAACAGAGCATTTTCGTGTTTTCTATAATCATATTTCTATTGAGAGATTATATCAACTATCTAGAACCATAGGAAAAAAAAGAAAAATCACGAAGAATACTTATCTAATTGATGTTGATTTACAATTTTAATTTAGTTCGACTATTTAAATACTATGTAGAGATATATTCGTATATCAATTATGTAGGTATTTATAAAAATATAGAAAAAGGAAGAACTATATTAATGATAAAATTTTCTCGAATAAGCAAATATTGACGAAAAAGAGCATGTTGTTATTGTTAGTTTTCTATCGGAAATTGTTAATGATGAACTACAATGTTTCATCATAAATGGAACATATATATATATATATATGAGAATAGAAAAAAAAAGAAAGAAAGAATAATAATACTTGAAAATACATGATATGAACGGATGTGATCCTTGTTAGACAGTCGAAGAGAAATAAAAAAGATGTTATTGAATAAAAACAAAATTCATTAATTGATGAAAGAATTGTAAAAAATTAATAAAGAAAAAATCATATATTATTTGTATCGTGACAATATTTCTATTGAAAATATTAATTAAAATATATTATGTAAAAAGATGTTGATGAATAATCACTTTCTCATATATATACTTTCAATATTATTAACAATGTTGTCTACTTAATTAAAAGACTAAATATACAAACTTAACCAGTTTTATTTGAACATATATTATAAAAAAATAAAGTGGTGAGCCTATTTTATCATTAGTACTAGTACTCATTTGGGTACAAACAAATTTACTATAAAATAGAACAAAAATAGAAGATGTTGTATCTAGGGATGTAAATAATCACAAATCAATAGTATTCTCTATTTAAAATAAGAATTCTATAGAGAAAAGTTTATAGAAAAATAGCAATTTATGATCTAGATCAATTTTTTTTCTCAAGAAATCAATAATCTCGGATAAGTGATAAACTACTTTATAATTTTTATCTGTTGACAAAGATTAGCTAAAGCTAATTTCTATAGTTGAATCAATTTTGCACTCGTATAAAATGAGATTAAAACGTTCTTGTATCATCCGAGTTTCGACTTGAGTTATTCATCCAAAACAAAATTTCCGTTTACTTATCGGAAAAAAACTATAGTTTATAATCAAATATATTACATTCGAATAATTCGTTCAACAATATTTTCTATTTATCTATTCATGTGATTATAAATGATAATCTATGTACATTCTTGAACACATATTGTTTTGTCTCATTCTGTTGTCTTTCAACGGATTTTTGAAGTATTTACGCGTATATAAAATGTGAAGGTACTCTCTAGGCAACGGTGGTACTTTTATTAATTAATACGTAGAAAGAATGTATTCATTGTGTACTCATGTTTTATTGTTAAAATTCCACAATTGTAAGCTTCATAAATAATACTTGGAACATGGAAATATCTGAGCGTGGGAATGAAAATAAAGAAAGAAAAGTAAAATTTAGTAAGCTACAGTGATGTCTGAATCGAACCAAATCGTTCAAGTTTTTCACAAATTAATACTTGCATTTTAACATTCTCCAAATGCAATATACAAATTCTACGTGTGGTCAGATTTAATTAAGTTTTTGTTTTGAAGCGTGACAATTTCTTTATTTTGTTGATAAATCTACAGCAGTTATTTAATTTCATCTTGTGTAACATTGCTTTTTTTTGTACATAAAATCTAGGAGCTGGATGTCATGTCATGAGCAATTTGCTGTTAGTATCTTTTTATTGAAATAAATAGAGAATAAAATAATAGAAAAACTAATTTGACTAGACTCGACTCGAAATATGATCTGACTCGCTCAGCCTTGCATTTAATTAAGAAACGCTTTTATCGATAAATATTAAAGATAATAGATAATGTGTGTATTTCTCCTTTTCTCAGTACATTGTGTCAAATAATAACTCAGTATAAATATAAAATAATAAATCAATATTGATAAAGAATTTTCGAATTATTTGCCTTTTTTTTAAATGCATTTTATTTTTTAATAGTAACAAGAAAAACGTTAACAGAAGTTAAACAAAGGAATAACTATAGATACATTTAGATGTTTTTTAAACATATTGTTTATCACTAGAATGTAGTTATAGTATTAAAACATAATAAAAACAAGTTTAATAAGAAATAATATTAAAAAAAGAATGTTTCTATTGCTTTAAAGTATTTTGATTATTTAATGATGACGGGTGTAGATGAGGGTGGGTAAACAAAAGGTGAACCCATATCCACCCAACACCCTGACACACACACCCAACATGAATAGATAATCTGAAAAGAATTGAAGAGGAGAAAATATTAAACGGTAAATCTCGAAATGTTAATGGTGGAAAACAATGAAATGATCCATTAATCGATAAATGTTTGAGATTTTTAAAGAATTTTAAAATGTAATCATACATATTTATTGTACGTTGTTTAGATGATATTTGATTGAAATCTGTTTCAAATATAAGAATAAGATCTGTAATTTGCTTTTGAAAAATATGTCCAAATGATGATTGAACTAAAAAACATGAAATTTTTCATCCGAATTAATGTTAAAAAAACGAATTTCCTGTAAAATATCATCAAAAATTTTATCATTAAAATTGAAAATTTTAAGTTGTGCTAAATTAGGATAAATACCAGCTTGAAGAATATTTTTCATAGATAATGAATCAAGAATAAGATATTGTATATTTTGATCAATTTTTGGTAATATATACTTGCAGAATCTTGAAGTAATATAATCAGGAAGCAAAAAAATATCATCATCTGATGTTATTAATACAAAACTAAATGTATTAGTAAAAGTGTTTTCTTGTGATAAACTATCAAGTCGTTGATGATCAATACTGAAGATTGAATAGAGAATATGGATGTTGTTCAGGTTTTTTAAGATTAAAAGTAATATTTCATTAGGTAAAGTTCGAAGACGCATTCAAACAAAAGAACAATGATAGTTTTATCTAGGGGCGTCACATCATCATTACTTTTTATTGTAATTACTTGGTAGTTATAATAATTTCTATTATTTTTATTACTTTATTACTTTTTGTATCGTTATTACTTATTACTGGTAATTAGTAATAGCATTTATTACTTTTTTATGTAATGCAGTAGTTTTTTATTACTTATTACTCTTATCATTTGTATTACTTTGCAAAAATTATTGCTCATTACTAGTAAAAACAATAACGTTAAAAATTATAACTTACTACCGGTAATGGCAATGTGACAGCCCTACATTTTATATATAATATTTTTATTTTTTCTATTTAGATACTTCAATAAAACCGTCAGAGAGGCAAATATGAATTTTATATATAGAGCTTATAGTTTTTAGTTAGAGTTTCAGTTCTATCGTCGAAAAGATAAGTATAGAATTTAAGTATTAAATTTTATTTTTATTTAGAGATTTCAGTCGTGTCGTCAATATAGGTAAGTTTGAATTTTATATATGAAATTCTTATTTTTTTATTTAGATGTTTTAATAATTGTAAGTAATATCCAATATATCTAGTGATATATATTGGTATATTCCCTCTGATCATGTTGAAACATTCCTTGCATTCTTCTATCACATATGTATATGATTCTTTCCATTCCTCTCATCTAGGTATGGGATTATTCCTTATCGTAATTCTTTATATATGTACACGCACACAGACGTATATGTGTTATATTCCTTTCGTTCTTGTTTTTGTTATTCCACGATAAACATTGAACCCCTGGTTCTACACAAACTTAAAATAATAGCGTAGTGTCGATAATTGTAGATATTATAAATTAAGTTTTTAGTTTTTTCAGTTAGATATTTTAATAATATCATCGAATAGAAAACTAGACTTTTATACAGTTTATATTTTCTTTCTAGATCTTTTAACTTTATCGTCGAATAGGCAAGCATGAGTTTAATAAATTAAATTTCTATTTTTATTTTCATTTAGATGTTTTATTGATATCGTGGCATATGTAAGTATAAACTTTATATATTAAGTTTTTATTTGTTTTCATTTAGATGTTTTGCTAGCATGGTCGAAATGGTCAGTATGAATTAGATGTATAACTGTGATGATATCTAATAAAAAGAGATGGGAAGTGGGAGAATGTGATGAGGAACGGTTGATTACGAAAAGGGGAAAGGTCAGAGATTAGAACAGAGCGATGAAATCAATAAAAAAATATATGTAAATTGTAAACTCCCTTTAAAACCTTGTATGAAATATAGATCTTGCAAAATCATAGAATAGGATCATACAAGAGTCGTATCTTACAATTCGTTTTCGGTCTGAAAACAATACCGTTTTGATAGATCTGGGATATTCTCATGGAGAAGAATGTCTTTTTTGGATTTTTTTCAGATAAAAAACATTTTTGATGACAAGCTGTTCAAATTTCACTCCACATTTATTTAAGAAAGATACATGTTGTGACTGTTTTCAAACAAAAGATAAACATATTGATTTGGAACATTCATTACCAACTGAGAGTTCTTCCACAAATATCAGTTCAAATAAATCTTTTCCAAATGATAACAATAATATTCAGTTAAATCAATCTTCTGTTCATCAAAATATAATCAATCAAGAAAAAAAAACTGATACAGCAATTTCTCGTGAACAAACATCAGAATCATGGGAAAGAAAACCGTGTCGCTACGGTCTCAAATGTTATAGAACAGGTCAGAATCACCTTGATAATTTTTCACATCCATTGGGATTTCAGGTAAAACAAACCAAAAATACTTTGAAGTGTCAACCTCAGAACACGGATCAAGAAAAAAATATATGTATATATGGTTCAAGGTGTCGTCGAGAAAACCCAGATCATTTCAAAAAATATTCACATCCCGTGGAATATGATACAGAAAGTCAATCTGATAATAGTAATTCTCCATTATTACAAGACAATTTTGAAAAACAATTGCTACTTGTTGAAAAACAATTTCTTGCTTCAATAGCAGAATTACAAAACAGAAATCAATATTATGTGCAAGAAATCGAAAAATTACGTCAAGATACAATTAAAATGGCAGAATATCATCTACAATTAGAAAATGATTTGGCACTAGAATTAGATGAAAGAGAACGTCGTGAATCAAAAAAACGTCATGTTTATTCTATTCAACGCAAAACACCAAATTATTGGGGGATCAATGCATTTGAAGTGCCTTATCGAGAAATAAATATTCGTCAAGAATCAGGTGAATTTACTATGATAAATGATTTATTCAATAGTACAATTGGAAGTCATGGAAATCAATTTGGAACTATTTATGGAAAAGATCCAACAGAATTTATTGTTACTAATATTAAACGAATTCATAATGATAAACTTTGGCATGAATACTGTTTTAAAAAGGTATACTTTAGTTAATCACCATTATCTTGATTTTGACGAATTTCTATGTCGCTTGCAGACAGTAGCGAGTCCACGTTTCTCCGGGCCTAGACCTGTGAGAAGCCAAATGTTTGAGCCTGCATCCGACCTATATCCGGATACTGATTCGATCGGGTCCGGATGTGAACTTGGGTTTGAGTCAACCCTTAGCTGTCTAGTTATGAACTGACTTCAGTATCATCTGACTTTAATGCCAAGCCAAAATAAACTGGGTCTGCTAATATTAGGGTCGGACCAGGATCCGCATCTAGACCCAGTCGGGGTGGGGTCTCGGTCAACCCGCTACTCCTTAGTTACTTGGATTCAAAGTAAAGACTGATTGCGTAGATAAAAGTTGTAAAAGGATTTGTGGCGTTAGTTTAATTTTGTTGAGGCACTACATTTTTAAGATATTCAAATAACCCATTACGACGATCCTTCTTCGACATTTTCAAATTTCGACTCGAAACTTCGCTGAATTTGTTTCTGCAAGCGATATTAGACTATCATACCCGTATAATAGAAAAGGGAGAAGGGATGGATCTGAAATTTTCGATTTGAAAAATGTTTTTTTATATTTTTGAGGGCGATCATGAAAAAGAGTCATCTCAATATTTTAGTAACAACGGGGTTTGTGACAAATCCTCTCAGGGCTTGCGTCTAAACTATGAGCTCAGAAAGAAGACATCAGCTCGGATGGTTCCCACGTTAAATCCGCTTTTTCTCTTTGATTTAAATATATTAATTTTTTCGTTTTAAGGATAGTATCATGAATAAAACAAATAATCGTTTAATGGAATATGAAAGTTCAAAATATTTTGAAGATCGACCATTATTAACACCATTGTTAGATGCATCTGCAAATGAATATTGGTTATTTCATGGTTGTGATAGAAAAATATTACCAATTTTATTACATGATGGCTATGATCCTCGAGTATCAAGTATAACAGGAATGTTTGGAGGTGGATTTTATTTAGCTGAAAATTCTTCAAAATCAAATCAATATATTGCATGCCCTAGTTGTGAGAAAAATTGTATATTCCGTGGAAGAGGATGTTCTTGTAAAAATCAAAATGATCTACAATATTTAATGATTGTTTATCGTGCATTGTTAGGAGATGTTCATATAGCAATGAATTATGACAAAACAATTTATCGTCAAAAAGACAAAGAAAAACCAATACGTCGACCGCCACTTAAAGATAATTCATGTGATTTATATGATTCAGTTATGGGTGAATCAAAAAAACATGATGGAAATAAATTAGAATATCGTGAATTTATTTTATATGAATTTGGTCAAGCATATCCAGAATATGTTATTCAATATAAAAGATCAGCTACAAATGCACATCCTCCTTCTGATCCAAAAAATATCATTAATAAATGTCGATTCTTTTTACAGAATCGGTTTAATTTAAGAAGTGAATAGTTTTCTTTATATTATGATTCTCATCAATTATTGTATATATGATTGTATCTTTTTTGAAATAAATTGACTCTGACAAGAATTTCATGGTCAAAATGATTAATACTTGTATAAACATAGTCACCTAAACTTTGCAAATAGTTAATTATGTGCGAATTTTTGAAGGCAAATAATTTTCATCGTTTCAGATTCAACATGAGTGATTTAATATAAAAGACATTATAGCGTGAAATATAGTTATAACATTCACTCTTTACTATAATTTGAAAGACATAGTGTATGTGATTGCAAAATTCAGATAGTATAATTGTATCATATAATACATTTTTTCGTTCAAATCATTGATTTATTTATTTGTACTCATCGTTTGAAATTAGAATTCGGATTAAGCAAATGAAAATTATTTGTGCATTTGGTTCTAAGTATAAAAGAAGATTGTGAAAGAATTCTCTGACTCCTTCGGTTCCAAGATCTTTGTGATATTTTAGCAGCATTTTTACTCAAGTTCGTCTAGCTTTTCCTATTCTTATTATATTCCAGTTAAAGAAGGATCTTTCATCTCAAAAACTAAGAGTTAAACGTCGAGAAGTTCTTCTTGCAAGCTTATCTTGGGTGAATCTTGAAAACTTGCTGATAGTATTTTTAGGTAGCTCACATAAAGTTACTGAGATTATCCTCGATACAATCTGATAAAAAGGTGTATGAGCAGATTCTGAAAACAACAATAGTGATTCAACATCACTATCAAACGTTTTTAGGCTTTTCTCCACCTTTTAAATGCATTAAAACAAAAATAGTTCCTCACTGAAAATAGAAAATTTTGAAGGCTACATACAGAACCCTGTATTTCGCAACGAATTTGAGCATTTTTTACCAAAACTAAAATTTTTCATATTGTCGTGTAGAACGCTTTTTCATTCTACGTCACTAACACAATCTTCTACGGAACCTAATATAATTTTATATGAAGAGTTTCATCCATGTATTCGTGAGAAAAACTTGTAAAGTTTTGTAGTGTTACCGGATCCTTTTCTCATTATTCTAAGAATATGGCTCTTAGAGCATCACTAGGAGCACACTGGGATGTATCTTAAAGAATTATGAATACTACTGCTGAGTAGTGTTTAAACAGCTCAAGAAATCAATCCAAAACATTTATAAAGTACTTGAAGCAATCGATGGTACGTGTTAATATCTTTTTTCGTTATATATATGGGAGAAACGATGAAATGTGAATTATGCAATCTGGTTTGATTGATATCAACTTTCGTTTCTTTCATATAATTGATAATCCTTCATTTCCTACTTTTCTCACGAAATTTTATCTTCAATAGCAGCTTTAAAACATTTATTGAGATAAGAATAAAAGTAAGTATAAAATATTGGAGATTTTTCAGCTTTTATTTATTTTATATATTCCAGGTGCATTATCTAAGTAATTTTACAGCAGAAAGAAAAACGTAACTATAGAATAACTGTTGCTTTTTAAAAGTTTTGGTATATTACATCAGTTTCTGCGATCAATGTTTCTAATATTAAAGTTTTTATTGATATTTGGGCTGATGCCAACGTGAATTCAGATGAAGAAACTCGAGTAGCTCAACAACAACTCTGTTCGTTTATTAATGCTGTTAAAATATTTAAGAGTGCAGATGAATGTGAAAAATATATTCGATAAGTATTATCTGAAAAACAGTATATTATAATTGTCAGCGGTCGTTCTGGTCGAACGTCTGTTCCGCGACTTCATGCACTGCAATATGTCGCATTAATCTATATCATTGTGTCGACAAGGAGGAAAATGAAAAGTAGGCAAAGGATTTTTTTAAAGGTAAATAATGTCAGCCAAATTGTTTTTTCTAGTATTAACGTATAGATGAAAGCTGTTGTCATTCAATTGGATGAACTTGTTTCTTAATTACGAACAGATTATCATAATGTATGTACTAAACATCCAAAGAAACCAACGAGCAATCCAATAATTGATGCTGAAATAGAAGAGCACAGAGAGTGAGTTTGGGTATAGGTACATATCTTCTCTTAATTCACACCCGTATCCACACAACCACCCTCAAGATGGTTCTATAATTTTCATTTTTAGAAATTTTCAGTACATATTAACTTCAAAGAATAACTGAGTATAAATATAAAATAGTAAATCAATATTTATAAAGAATTTTCGAATTATTTGCCTTTCTTTTAAATGCATTTTATTTTTTAATAACAAGAAAAACGTTAACAGAAGTTAATCAAAGGAATAACTATAGATACATTTAGATGTTTTTCAAACATATTCTTTATCACTAGAATGTACTTATAGTATTAAAACGTAATGAAAACAAGTTTAATAAGAAATAATATTAAAAAAAAAATGTTTCTATTCCTTTAAAAAGTATTCTGATTATTTAATGATGACGGGTGTGGATGTGATTATTCTTTTTATTCACACCCAAACCCTCAAGATAGTAAAAACGAGGCATTGTTTTAGTAATAGAAAAAGAACAACAAATTATACATATCATACAGAATATTTTCACATTACGAAATAAATCTTAATATAATTCTTGCTCTCAATCATTAACTATAGATTCACATTGAATTAAAATCAAAGTTAATCGAATTCATAATACACATTATACAGCAATTATTTTATCAGAAGATCCAAGAATGAAACTTCATCTAACAGATAAATTATCTAAATCCATTTCTCAACATTTAAATAATATAAAAAGTAAATAAATTAGGTTTGGTATTTAATGAGATTTCTTTTTCTTTTAGTTAAATGATGATTTAAAAACAAAAGAATCGAGATTAATACGAGATGATGTATCATCATTAACAATAAAATAAACTAAACATCATAGATGGTAGTAGCCTCTTCACTTAAATAGAGCATCAGACATTTCACCAGTTATTCTTATACTAAATATGAACAAAATATATACTATAATTTCCTATAAAACTCTTTCAACATTTCGAACAGAGTGATCTCTACTATTTTCTAAAAACTTCGAGCTACTCAAAACGATTTCATCAGTAAAACGTTAAAAAACACATTTTGAAAGTATTTACAGGTTTCTAATAATCGATTAAAATCAACTGTTTTTCTATCTTTTTTTTTAGATAGATCCTTTTGTTCCGTCACAAATAAGTATGTGTTATTTCACATGACACAACTGTTTTTTCTTTCACAGTGACCTTTGACTTCTAATAGGCTAGACCAAATTAGACTGCATTATTATATATGGTCAATATTGTTACATGCTAATATCAAATACATTTCATAATTCACCTACAATTTCGCCTAGTCTGTTTGAGGCCTTATATGCAAATATATTCGCTACATGCTTTTCTTTGCAACACTATACTCACTAGTTGACCTTCTCTGTTCATTTTATTCTTGGGATGAGCCATTCATAAAATAGAGAATAAGAAGCTGCCTATTGATATTGATACTTTCTCGTATTTATATACTTTGTCATAAACAAGTTTTCTTTACTCATACTTGTGTTAGCTTTTTTATCAAGCGAAAGATTGAAGGAACAACAGCAACAAAAAGAAATACTAATACGAACACAGATATGGTATGAATAAATTGAGAATATTAGGAGAATAGTAGACATAGTTCAAACAAGATAGAAGTTAATTTTTCTTTAACTTTATTTTATTTCACCATGATCATCCTGGTGAGTATTCTTTCAGTTGTTTTATCCCACTTGCTGAGTTATTGTTTTTATTTTGTATTTATTGTTGTGTATTTTAGGATCTACCAATAAATCGACAACCGCCACCGAAGAGAGATTGGCGTCCTTATATCAATTCGTTAAAAGCTCAGGTGGAGGAGTGGGAAGTTCGAGTGGCTCAGCTGAAGGCTAAGGCTGAGGCAGATGAAACATACGCTCGAGCGGTCGCACCGGGGGCTCCACTTGAGGCTCAAGAGGATGCAGCAGAGGCTTTAGCGGATGCAGCAGAGGCACTAGCGGATGCAAAGGAGATTTGGGTGGATGCAATGGAGGCTTGGGCAGATGATATGGAGGCTTGGGCAGCTGCAGTGGAGGCTTGGGCCGCCGAAGTGGATGCTTGGGCCGCCGAAGTGGATGCTTGGGCGGATGAAATGGACGCTTGGGCTAATGAATGGGAAGCGGATCCAGCACCATGGCTAGGTGGATGAAGATCGGTGATTGTTGGAATTGGTACGGTTCAGATCAGTATTGTAAATAAACGATTACGAGTGTGACGTTTCTTCAGCTCTTGCATGTTCTCTTGTTTTGTTCAAATAAAATATAAATGAAATATAAATAAAATCATTATTTTTTTAACTGTTGAAACAGAAAGCAACGAAATATAAGGACTATAAAGGACAGATGACTATTATAGAAAAAAATAATCTGATAGTTCGTTTTCGATCAACAACGTTCCAACAAAATCTGTGCCATGTCTTATAACATACCAGATATTATTTTATGAAGATCTTTTAAAATATCTCATTCTACCAACAAATCATTTTCATTACCAGAAGTTTAGTGTATTAGTATCTTTTTTGTTAAAAAACAATAAATGGAAATAAAACTTTTATCTTTATTTCATAAAGATAAGTAAATTCTTTTTGAAAAATAATGAGTTTTATTATTCAAAGAAGAAAGCTAAAAATAAATTCATGCACTCAGGGATATATTAAAAATGTTAATCATCTCATCGACAATATGTACTATTAACAATTGATTCATATCATTCATTAGTTCGATCATTTAATCTTCTTGATCGTTTATACTTTTCTTCAACAACAAATTACTAAAACAACTTATGTTAAAAGAGGCATATCAAACATTTCGTTGTAAAAAGTAGTTAAACATCAGTTTATGTTTGATTATCGATCATTATCAAATGAAATTCATAAAGAATACGCCAATTATTACATTTTTTATGTTCTTTATCAAAAATAATGTTGAATCTGATTTACTTCGAATCTACAATTTTCTTAGTTCAAAATTTAATTTTATTCGTTTTATTTATGTCATTCATAAACAGATTATCAATCGAACATCATATAACGAACGAAAGTTTTCAGTCATTTAAATCAAACATTTTTAAAGGCTTTAGGAAAATCAATTGACTTAACTCGTGCACTTGTGCATTGTAAAATTAAAATCGAATAAAAGAAAAAAACAGAAAATAATAAAAAACAACCAATCAAATCGGAAATATTAATTGATCAGAAATCTTTATCAATATCTAATAAACAACAACAATTAGAGGCTTATATTTAACAGAAATAGTATTTCATCTATTTCATTGTGTATTTAGCAGTCTAAGTGAAACATTTGCTGATGAATTGTAATTTGCTTGAGATGATGTTATTTAAATTAGCTTTTCTTTTCATTCATGTAATATACACTAAATGATGAAAATGTTCAACTATGAAAGATTTCGCATAAAAAGGTTGAACAAAATAAATTGTGATGAATCATTATTTCATCTATTACTGAACAACAATTTTTTAGTTATGGAAAAGAGAGTAAAGTAGCTATTTCAGAAGATTTTATTTAAATACTTTGATTATTTAGTCAATAAAACATTGATCTATAAATGTTTATATTTTCATAAGAATATCAATGATACACACAACATGATAAAGCTATTTTGTTGCCATAAGATGCGTATAGTTTGAAGTCAAATATGAATAACATCTCAGTACATAAGATCAATTCAAGGAAACGACGATAATATAAAGTTTTAGTTACAACTATGGATGTCCTATGATTGCAGGAAATAATGAAGAGTCTTAATTTTTTTTTCTTGTTCATATCTAGTCATGTTCTTATCCATAATCATATGCTAACAGTCTAACTGTGACAATAACAATAACTACAATCAATACAAAAAAAATAGATCTCTTCTTATAGTTCATTTGTGTGCGTACTCTGATGGTGATATCTCATAATATTTTTACGAACTTCAAGGGATCTCATGAGATCGAAGTCCACTATTTTTTCCTTGAAGTTGCTACTGTGCATGTTGATTACTCAGAAAGATTTATGGATTTTTTTTGTTACATAAGATGTCGAGGTTACTTTCGATCAATGTACATCTATTCCCCAAATTTTTGATGCTGAAACTATTTTATAGAGGTATCAGTTTCAACTTAAAAAGTATTGAATTATTTGAGCTTGTCTTTTGAAGTAGATTGTTACCGGTACCAATTGTTTACTATGAATGCCGATAATCACTATGTCAATGATATATAAATGTAAATTGATAATCATCAGTAGATCAAAATAGTCATTTCTTACAAATCTAGTGGTTGAAATTATTATGAAATTAGAGATAGATTTGCTTTTTTTCTTGAATTCAACTTACAAACTACAAATGACAGTCAATCAATAGAGATATTAGATATCATTAGACAAAATGCATTGGTAATAGAGAATATCTGTTTTGATTCTTCAGATTTTTCATGCATCATACTGACATGAACTCGATCAACTCGAAGAAATAGGGAATAATATGTATAAATAATGCAGAAGTATACTTCTGAGAAAGTAATTAATTTCATTATTCTAACTTTCAAAATATTGAAGCATTTATATTACAAAATAGTTCATTTCTGCAAAACTAACCAATGTGTGGTGAAGAAGAAAGGAATGAACAACATATGGATTATCAAACTTTTCAAATGTCATATTAGCGATTGATGACATCTATAATAATGTATGTATAAATAAGAAAGATTATGGTAAACAAAGCCACCTCTTTCGATTTAACGAGTCATTTAATTTTAATGTTCATTTGTAGTACGATCCCAACGAAAGAGAGAGATCCAATGATTATCTTTTTGATTTATTGTCTATTTCTCCACTTTTATTGAATCAATCTTCACTTAAACTCTTTGTTTATAATAAAGAGTTTAAGTCGCCGTTTCCGATGGTCGGATTGATCGTCCTGGGTATTGAGACAAACCAGAACCAACATACGTCGATATACACGAAGTAGTATACGAAACCATCAGCGACGTGATGGTCGAAACGAACCAGGATGGCCGACATCCACTGTTCTCAGTATGTTTGTCTTCGCAATATTTATTTCTATTCGGTATTTTTCTTTATTATAGAAGGCGAAGGGTGGTCAAGGAGAAAGTTTACCGGCCCTGGAGATCGATGGTGGGAGAGCACGCGCCGGCGGACGTGTTGAAGGCTCCATCAGACGTGGTACAAGTGCCCATGGTAGGGTAGAAGGGGCCCAAGCTAGGGCGCGGTAGTCACAGCTGTTCAGCAGAAGGTTGTGACACGTATAGAGCACGGCCTCAACGGCTTTCCTATTGGTATTATTGGTATCAGTGGTAGTGGGGGTCAACTTGCAACTTACGTATAGTTGATCCCACCCCTTTTTTTTTGTTATTTTGTTGTTTTGTTATAATAAATGTAAAGAAATAATATAACCTTTTTTTTAATTTAAAAATCTATTTATTATTAAGAAGAAAAAATATCAAGAGGATAAAAGCTGATTCAAATCAGACGAAAAACAAACTTAAATCACAAAAATCAGCTTAACTTAATTTAAATCACTTAAATCACCTTACATAATTTTAAATCACTAAATCATGTTTTGCTTTTTTCCCCTTGCTTTGATTGATAAACATTAAAGATAATGTGTATATTTCTCAGTATATTGTGTCAAAAGAATCGCATACAAACGTTCTCTATCACTGTAGAATATCATTCAATTCTTCACAAACTCGATCATAACTGCAATATATTCTATGATTTTCATTTTCAGAAATGTTCAGTACATATTAACTTTAAGTAACAGCTGAGTACAAATATAAAATAGTAAATCAATATTTATAAAGAATTTTCGAATTATTTGCCTTTTTTTAAATGCATTTTATTTTTTAATAGTAACAAGAAAAACGTTAACAGAAGTTAAACAAAGTAATAACTAGATACATTTAGATGTTTTTCAAACATATTTTTTATCACTAGAATGTACTTATAGTATTAAAACATAATAAAAACAAGTTTAATAAGAAATAATATTTAAAAAAAAACTGTTTCTATTGCTTTAAAGTATTTTGATTATTTAATGATGACGGGTGTGGATGTGATTATTCTTTTTATTCACACACATCCACAGCCACATCCTCACCAATCCGATTCCATTTGACAAATATGCGTTCAAGTCAAACATCAATGGTTTCGAACGGTAAAATTGATTCTCTAACGATGGAAAAATCAATGAAGACGAGAACAGCGAGTACGAATTTGAGAACACCAGCAATTTAAATCGTGACAACCGTGTCTATATCGAATTAATCCTTGCATGGATTAGTAATCACTGACATCCATCATTTTTAGAGTTTCCAGCACTCTTCAGATTATCGATGAACCTCATAAATATTTTTATATACTGCTGTTTTATTGATGATAGTGATGAATATCTCCATATACTTTTTCATCAGCTCTTGGTATGACTGAAGAACGTCATAGATCATTCCATCTACATTTTCATAATCATTTTTGTTAGTGCATATAAGTGTTGATAAAGCTCATGTATCCTCTACGGAAAATATATGAAAGGATTTCAGAAATCTTCACAAGCGACGAAAAACCTTGACTATTCAATGGATATTTTTTCACTGCGCACATTATTTATTCATATAGTATATTATTTGATGATATTATATGATTACTCTCTTCATGTATATTGATTTTTACCTGTACATATTGATGTAAGAAAGCATGATTTCTTTCTCTTCATCAATCGATTGGGAGAATGACAGATTTAGATATGACTACAATAGAATTACTTGTCAATGGGATGATGTACACTGTTTTATGTCATTAAATGATGTTTACTATTTTTGGTCCTTGAATAGAATCCGTTATAATATAAGTCTTTTGTTTGAAATATATGGTTGACCGATTTCATCCAAAGACAATATAGGTGAAATCGTGGTATATAAAAGACCATGTATATCTTCACAAGATTCATATATAACTTTTACTATTGACGACCATTATCTTCATCGCTTATACTGTAACAAACAAACAGAAGGCAAGTAATTTTTTTACTTCTACTTCATCTATATTTATTTGCAAACTCATTATTTAGGTGATACAATGATGATTTCAACATTTAGTGGAGTCCTCACTCTTGGTTGTTTTATGCTTCTTCTTCTCGTGACGACAACTGAGGTATCTATAGCTCATAAATAAAAGTTTTTAAGCGAAAGAAGAATGTGGGTGTATTTCATTAGGCCATTGAACCTGGCAATTACAAAATTTCACAACAAGGTAGCTTTGTGAATGTGCGTGACAACAAAATGTATCGATACCTCATGGATGAGGGTAACCCACAGACGGTAGGAGTACACGATTCATTATTGTCAACTGTATTAAATATCATTTGTTTTAGTGGGCTGTCGATAAGTTGTCGAATGGTATGTACACAATTAAAAATTTGGCAACAAGTAAGTTTATCCCAGCTCCTGAAGGTCCTTCAGATTGGGTAAGTTATCACAAATCGTTTTTTTCGTTGTTTGATAATATTAATTATCATCGTAACTTATTTATTCCATATTAAGTATCAACCAATCGTTCTTGGAGACACAAAAGGTAGTTTTGAAATTGCTGATTTTGATAGCGGCTTGTATACTGTAGGTCATTTTTGAAAATTTAAACATGTATTTTCATCAAATGTTTTTTGTCTAATAGATCAAAGCTGCCAATACAGACTTATTCTTGGGAAGAAATCTTGCCGAAGATCGCTCAGTTATGCCAAAGCCGGTACGATGAACAAAATTTTTTTTTCAAATATTGAAGAATCTATTTGGTGTCGTTCTTAGGTCTCATTTATTGACGAACAAGCACCTATAGACACCAGAATCTTTGCCTTTATTCCAACTAAGGATCGCCGTCGTCATTTTCATTTTGATCGTAGATACAAGAACATAAATTAAGAATAAAATTTGCTTTGTATTGGCACAAAATATTAGAAACTGATAATCCAGTAGAAATATCTGTAGTGTCTCATTTTCCTTTTTTTCATTATATTTTCTTTAGTTTAGTCAATAAATAAATATATATATTTGAATATGTAGTATTGTATAAATAAGTTTAATTCATTGAAGGTTATTATGAGGATTTGGCTCAGGAATATTTCTTTAACTCACAAATATCTTTTAAGTGTAAATAGAGTTATATACAAAATGAGACTAATACTGGTATAATAAAAATGAATATAAAAGAGAAAGCGGCCTCCAAAACACACTTGTATCAAAATATTTTTATTTCGTGAATAAAGTGAAAACAAGAACGCTTGATCACATATAGATGAGACAAGAGAAAAAATGAAAGAGAACGATGTATTATAGCTGAAGACCATGACAATGAATTGCTTCTATTATATCACAAGATTAGCTGTACACAAAAGTAAAAAAAAAGAATAAACAAGATACGAATGATTGTTTACTCAAATTAGTGGCTTAATCCGAAATTTGTAGGTACTCGGACAGTACTGCAATACATTTATAAGATCAACTGACTGTAGTCAAGTCTCCTCATCAACTAAAATGCACTTACGCAACGTGCACTAATCCAGAGGAGGAATATAATACAATGTAGCTGTATTTTTATTCAGTGAATCACGATAAGGAAAAAAGAACGGCTATTTGAGTATTATTCGATTATTTCTGTGTCTGATAGAAACAGTATCAATTATCTATCCATGATCAATGATAAAACTTTTGTCAATAGCTAATAAAGAAGAATCGCTTAATTTACTAATCTTAAGGGTGGATGTGAGTAATCAAAAAAGACACACCCACACCCCCAAGATTTTCAGAAATGTTCAGTACATATTAACTTCAAAGAATAACTGAGTATAAATATAAAATAGTAAATCAATATTTATAAAGAATTTTCGAATTATTTGCCTTTTTTTTAAATGCATTTTATTTTTTAATAGTAACAAGAAAAACGTTAACAGAAGTTAAACAAAGTAATAACTAGATACATTTAGATGTTTTTTAAACATATTCTTTATCACTAGAATGTAGTTATAGTATTAAAACATAATAAAAACAAGTTTAATAAGAAATAATATTAAAAAAAACTGTTTCTAATGCTTTATAGTATTTTGATTATTTAATGATGACGCATATCACGCTCACGTTGACGTACAGGCGCCCGAATAATATTATCAACACGTAATACCATTTCAGCTGCTTCTGCTGCACTTCTAACAACTTGTTGTTTGAGATGAAATGATTCAAGTATACCAAGTTGAATCATATCAGCTATCCGACCATTTTCCATATCTAAGAAAAAAACAAAATGAATTAAAGATATAGTTTTAGAAATTCATACCAAGACCAAATGTTGATTTGCCCGATGTATGGGCAGCACGGAGATTCGAAATTAATTCAGCACTATCATAACCAGCATTATCAGCAATAATTGTTGGTAACTAGAATAGAATAAGTCATTCAAAAAAAGATATAGATAGATATGAAATGTTATCGGCTTACTTGACGTAGAGCACGAGCAAATGATTCAATAGCTACGGATTCTTTGCCAGCTGTTTTTACTGCTAATTGAGAAACAGCTGTTGCCATTAACATTTCAGCTGCGCCTAAAATATCGGATTCAATCATCTATTGTTATCAATTAAATTAAATTGTAAACAAACCTCCACCATAACAAATACGTGGTTCTTTAACAGTTTGTGATAAAACACAAAGAACATCATGTATTGATCGTTCAGCTTCATCAAGAATTTGTTGAGTAGCTCCACGTAAAACAATTGTACAAGCTTGTCCTTGTGCTACACCTATATTTGTTCAAAATTAAATACATCTTCTTTAGTTAATAGGCAAACAAACCTGAAAATTTAATAAGTTTATCTTCTCCAATAATTATTTCTTCAATCAAATCACATTTGCCTAATCGAACTTTATCTGGTGTATCAAATGTTGAAACAATATCTCCACCTAAAAAAAAACATAAATTATTTAATAACATCGATAAATAATGTTCCTCTCTTTTACCAAGTACTTGTGCTAAACGTTCAACACCTTCAAAATCTGCATGTTCAATGGCCATAACACCTTTTTCAGCAAATAATTGTTCTGGATAATCATAAATTAATTGTCTAAAATATTTAAAATATTAAAAAAAAATAAAATCATTCTTGAATTATTATTCTTACCGATTAATAAATACATTGCAATTATGTTGAAGAATTTTATTAACTTTATCTTTCATTTTTTCTTTTTCAGCTAATTCTAATTCAGCTACTTTAGCAACTGTATCAACACGTACACGTGCACCAAATATTTTAACTTTATCCGTATCCATTGGAGTATTAGCTATAAGAATACGAGCATTTTCAAGACGTTTTGGCATATTGATACCAATACGTTTTTCCAATAGAAAACCTTCTTCAAGATATGAATCACTCATATTATTGCCCAAACGTTTGATTATCTGAATACCTTGCAAATCAGTTTTACCCTATATACACATATATAAAAGATTTGAATTGTTAGTTAAATAAATAAATTTACATTTAATTTAAGTACAGCATCGACACATAATTTCGAAAAATAATCTTTTTTTCCTTGAAGAATTTTTGAACTAAGTGTTGTACGAGCAATATTCATAAGATCACTTCGAAATTGTTCTAAATTTGAACTAAATTTAAGGAAAGAATTATTCAAAATTCTTAAAAAATCTTCTCTCTTCATACCTATTATTTTTTGCAATACTTTCTAAAACTCGAAGTGCTTCACTTGTTGCTTTACGCCATCCAGTTATAATTGTTTGTGGATGAATTTTTTGTGCAAGTAAATTTTCTGTTTCCTATTATTATATATACTTTCAAAAATAAACTGATATTATAAAATTCTCTTTATATACTCGAAGAAGTTCACTAGCTAAAACAACAACTGATGTTGTACCATCACCAACTTCATCATCTTGAACTTTTGAAATATCTATAAGAAAAAACATAGAATTAATAAGAAATAAATTAAAATAATCCTAAACAGACCAACAAGAACTTTTGCTACTGGATTATCAACACCAATTTTTGATAAAATTGTTGCTCCATCATTTGTTACTAATAATCTGCCAGCATCAGGCCCATCACCCATATGACATTGAAGAATTTTATCCTAGGATACACACATAATCATTTTTTTTTATTAAATAAAAATATAATAGATCTATTTACCATTCCTTTTGGACCAAGTGTAGTTTTAACTAGATCACCAACAGCCAATGCTCCGGCAAAGGCTGACTAAAATATTATAAAAAAATTTTTATTATATCTTTTAAAATTTCTTTCTACTTACTAATCTAGCTATTTCAGCTTTTTCTTCTCCACCACCTGGTTTATAAAGTGGAATTGGATTAAGTGCTGTCTACGAATTTATAGAACAAATTAATTAATAAATTCAAAATCATTTTAAATTTCTTACTGTTAAATCGCCGCGCATATTTGTTACAAATTCTTATAAGAATGAAAATTAAATTAAATCATTTTCCATAAAATCCAACCATTACTTAATGGATCTAAAGGATGACATCTATATAAATATGAAAAACCGCAAAATGTTTGTTACTTAGTAACCATTATTCGAAGTTCTTCATTAATGGGATAAATTATGTTTTTATCAGCTGTGGATTTGTATTTTCGATGTAACCGTACGAAAGTCTATTAAATGGCAGACGCAACATTAAATTATCAAACAATTCGAACTACACATGCAGCTCGTGAAGCTGTAAGATTTTAATTTTATCCTAGTAAATTATATCGATTCTTTTTTATTTTATATACATCCATATAGGATGATTTACGAAGTGATAATCGAAAAAAAAATTTAATTATTCTTGTACTTCAATGGCTTGCTGAAGAAGGGTATATTCATTTCTTTTACATTTTTTTATGCACCGAATTTTATTTTAGTTACATTGAATCTGCTCGACAACTTGAACATGAAACAAATCTTGATGTTAGTAAATATGATGTCTGTGATAATATTGGCCTCGATACAATTCTTCAGGAATATGAGTTAGTTTTTTCATTGAATAAAACAAAAATATATTTACATTTTTATTTTTATTAGATCATATTTTCATATTAAATTTAATAAATACCCAAAATTAACAAAGAAAATTTTAGCAATGGGTGGTAAGTTAATTTTAATACGATGATAATACGCTACGAAAAGTTCAATTGATAATAATATTCATACCGATTTATTTTACCTAATGAGTATATATACAAAATATTTTTCTTTCTTTCTTTAGCAGCATCGACAAGTAAAATCTCTGCTAAATTAGCTAGGTAAACTAAGAAATGATTTATTTTTCAAAACAAAAAAATAACAGAAAATCTTTTTATAATTAGTGCTCAATCAACAGCCCGTCGTAGTAATGTTCCATCATTACCACGTGTCGTGAATAATGGAACAGAAGCAATAACAACAGCTTCTGCTGGTGCAAATCCACGTCCTCCGACCGTCGGTGATGTACTACGAAAACTATCTAATACTCGTAAACTTAATCGATCAAATTCGGAAAAATTATCAGTAAATTCAATCTCATCCTCAGGTTCAGTACAAAGTTCTTCGGTAAGTTGATAGATATATGAGATAAAAATTCAATTCAATATGCGTGTCTTATTCAATTGTAGCAACTATCAGGGAATAATAGCAATCAACAAATAACAAATACAGTAGAAGATATGACTCTTTCATTTATGAAAGTATCATCTGTTAAAACAACAACATCATCAACAAATGATCAACAGCAACAAAATGGAAATAAAAAAAAAGTAAAATAATGAATTTGAAGTTAATTTATCTTAATTTAGTTTGCAAGAAAAAGAAATGAATGACTTTGAAAAGAATGTCGGACGCATTGACTTCTATTTCCTCTTCCGGACATCAAACTAAAAATAATAACTTTCATATTTCTATAATAAAAATGGTTAATTAGTTCTTCACTTTTGATAAAGTCTTCTTATCCGAAAAAAAGACTAGGAAAATTAGATATTTTTGAAGTAGCTTTCTAGGGAGTTTATTTTCAATAAGAAAATAATATATAATTAAATTTTTGATTACTGAAACTAATTTTCAATTATAATACTCTAAATTACGGTATTTTTCTTAGTATGATATCGTTCTCGATAATTATTTAGAATACATTGTTTTTTTCATAAGTAAACAACGACCTTGAGTATTACGAAGAATTAAGTAATTGTGCATATAAAATAGAAAATAATTTTTTACGTTTGTCATGTACAGAAATGATTACAAGGCTATAACTATGATTTTATTTTTTGATTAACTGTCACAATGTATTATAAAATAACTTGTCTTCATTTTAGTTTCCTGGCAATATTATTGATTGTCGAGCGATGATCAATGATTCATTACGTGGAGCCATCGATAGCAATGGTGATCCATCTGTAAATAGATTTTCTTTTTGTTTTACTTACTGTTCAACTAAATTTTTGGTTCATTTAGGATCGCTTATTAAAACCATTAGGTGGTTATGCAGGTTATAATTCTGAATGGCGTGATTTAGCTGATGTTGTTAGTCGGGTAAATAATATAAATTTTAGTTTTAATTTTACTCTTGTCTTTATTTTTTTTATAAAAACTTTCTTTTCCATCTTTTGTCTCATATGTCATCACATTACTCTCGTACTCTTCGTCATTTAGACATATTTCTCATCACTTTTTTGTCCCCTCTAGTATGGTTACAAGCACGAAACAAAAAAATAATAATAATAACAAAACGAGAAAAAAAAACGGTAAAGTTATACACACGCATACACACACACACACACACACATGAAAACACCTGACCAGATGGAAAGAAAGAGAGAGAGAGAGAAACACCACTGCGTATAAAAACGAGACAGAAGAAGAGAGATTACGCAAGGAAAGAATCTTTTGTTTTTTAAGTTGAAAGGAGAAAAAATATATAAAGAAGAAGAAGAAGAAAAAAATTTCATATGGAAGAACAAAACAGGTTTTTTTTAATGGATAAAAAAAAAGAAATTCTTTGTTTCTGAAGATAAATTTTTTTTTGTTAAGTTTCTCATCATCATTCTTCATATCAAGTTTGACAGATAGAGAGAGAGACTCTTTGAGACAGCAAAAAAACAAAACAAAAAAAAAGAAAAATAACAACAAAGAAAAAAACAACATCAACAACAAAAAAAAAAGAAAAAGAGAGAGAAAGAAATTTTTTTTTGTGAGGGTTTTGTTTTTATACAAAGAGATTTTACATTTCTGTTTTTATTCGATCCGATGAAGATAATGTCGAAGGAAGAATATTAACATTCGGTGTTACAAAATCACCGTCATTAGCACTACCCGATGGGGAATGTGATGATGGTGGAACAACTGCTGCTGTTGGTTGAAGTAATTGAGAATGATGATGATGATGTTGTTGTTGCTGCTGCTGTTGCTGTTGTTGTTGTTGTAATGAATTATCTGTAGTTGATGATGATAATGTGACTGTTGCTGGTCTTAAAACTGGTAACATTTTAAATAATGCTTCATATGGTGAACGTTTTAATTCATTATTTATATTTGAATTTAATGTTAATTGTACAAATTTTAATCCATATGACCAACGTGGATTATTATTAACAAACATCCATGCTGCTATCATTGAACGAATTTGTTCATTACGTAATTTAGCTGATTCACGCCATTGTGATGAATCATCTTGATAGAGACGGATACCTTGAAAAAGAAAATTATTATTCATGATATATTCTTTTTTTTGTTTTTTTTTGAAAAATTAATTACCGGGCCAAACAGCTTCAAGTGTTTGTTGTATAGCAGAATTTTCAATATGAAGATCAGCACTGGATTGTAAAACAAGTGGTGGACCAAATATGCAAAAAATATCCATTAGTGTCGTACCTAATTCAATAGGTGATTTACTTTTTAATGGACGTAATTGAGTAAATTTTGTTAAATAATCTTGATATACAAGTACAAAACCATGATCACCATCATGAGCGTTTTGTAAATCAATTAAATCATATTCACATAAACGATTCATTACATGTGTATTTGCTAAAAGTAAGAAAATCATATAAGAAATCATTTGTTTTGCCTGAAGTAATATGAACTAGAGATAACAGATGTCTTTTTTTTTGTTCCGGAAAGTTTTTTTCTTGTGCTATTCTGCTTAGTAACAAAATACGTTTTTTAGCTAAAGGGAATATTAAATGTGTAATTACACTATCAAGATATGAAAGAAAACTCTTCTTTTTTTAAATATATTTTTAACATGAAGTATTATGATTTTACATACCTCCATCGAATATATTTTCAATTGGTTGTTGTTGATGAATATTACTATTATTATTATGTAAAACAATAGGTGGTGATGGTGTTGCAATCTGTTGTTGTTCATGTTTAATAATATTTGTTTGTTGTTGTAATGTTGGAATATCGTGAACAATATTTGTTAAACTTGTATCCATTAAATGATTTGTTTCATTAAGTAAATTATTATTTCCATTTTCATTATTTGTATCTGTATTAATACGTTTACGTCTTTTACAACAATAATCACACATTTTTAAATATGTTTGAATAACTTCACGTGGAATATTTGCGTATTGCTTTGATAAAATAGGCCATAAACGATCTCGACCACCATGATTCATTTTCTTATGTGTATAATCAATAATATCATACATTTCTTCAATTGATACAAAAAATCGTATATCTTTATCATCATTATCTGTACGTGCAGCGACAAGTCGTTGTTTTCCTTGAACATCAACAATATCGAAACGTTTTATACGACGATAATCTTTTGCTGTACGATCACCTGGTTCTTTTTCTTTGGCTTGAATTGATTCACTTAAAATTTGTTCAAGACGATCTTGTGAATAGACACTACGACGTGTTGCTATCGTTTTAACAAAAACATCACGTTTGCTTGTCATCATGCAACTAAAAATATATAAAAGATTTTATTTTCAAATTTTATTTTTTTGTTTTCATTTTGATAAACACTTTTTTTTATTAGTTAATTCTGACAAATACTAAGATATTGATCGATATGCATATGTCTTGACAGGAATGATGAAAAAATCTCGATAGCTATTCCATGCGTTGCTTACTTCTCTTCTTTCTGTTTTCTTTTTTTTCTGATGATTTTGGGCGCGTTTGCTGTTGCTTTCGATGAAGTAGAAGAAGAAGATAACTAATGGGCAAACATGCCGCGTCGAGTTGGATGTGATGTGAGCGCTTTCGACGGACGGGAGAAGAAAAAGAGAAGAGAGAACAGAATGAATAAATGTTAACCCTATCCGGACGATGTCTATTTTTTTTCTGTCTCTTTCTCTCTCGACTTTTCTTTTTTTTCTTTGCCCTCTTGCACCCCATCGGACGATCGTATTTGTCAGTTCTCTCTTTCTTTTCTCACCTGCTGCGTTCGCATGAGAATGAAAACGGAGATGCGTTTTTTTTTTCTACACATTTTTTTTGCCAGCAGTTGTTCGCACCTAAAGGCAAAAAATTTTCTGCTTCTTTTTTATTCATGTAATTTATATGCGTGCATTGAAGGATGACGCTAGATTTGATCTATTTTTAACGCATATATTGTTTATATGCATGAAAAAGAAAATTTATATAGATGACAAGTCAAAAAATACAAAAGAAAATATAGAATAATTATTGAATTAAATAAGAATGTTCTCTCTTGGGCTTTTTAAGCATGTTTCTTTTCTCTTTTTTATTCTCATCTCAAGAGAGTCTATTTAGAGAAATATAAAAAAAACGGGATGAGAGCACAAATGTTGACATGAAAAAAAAGGAACTCTTCGGAAAGAAATGTCAGAGAACCAAGACAACGATCTGTTTGGAATGTATAATCAGATAGACGAATCAAATTAGAGTTATTCTCTATTTGACGTAAAAAGTGCAATGTCTGATCTGTATTTCAATGAATGTGTTTTGGTAGAAATTTACTTTCTTTTTTTTCATATCAAATATCAAAATTCTCCAAATGTGAACATTTTCTCATTTATTATCAAATATAACTAAGAAAAAGAGAAATTTATTAGGAAATCGAAGAAAAAAGAAAACAAAAAACCTTGAAACTGTCAAGAAAGATTTCTGGAAAAAAAAAGAAAAAGTTCTATTGCATGCAATGAATAGACTGTCATGTACTTAATTGAATAACATAGAAAACACTAATTTTCTGCTATTTGAAATTCTCAAAAGAATTATTCGTATTCTCTAAAGATAGAAATAAATAATCATAAATATTAAAATTTCAGGATATCTATCTTCATGATCCAGATGTACGTTGGGATTCAATAATAGGACTTGAATCTGCTAAGAGAACAATAAAAGAAGCTGTTGTTTATCCTATACGAGTATGAATAAGAATGAAGATAATATTATTCTTTATTATATTCTTATTTAAATTAGTATCCGCAATTATTTACTGGAATTTTATCACCATGGAAAGGCTTACTTTTATATGGTCCACCGGGTACTGGAAAAACGCTATTAGCTAAAGCTGTAGCAACTGAATGTAAAACAACATTTTTTAATATATCAGCTTCAACAATTGTTAGTAAATGGCGTGGTGATTCAGAAAAACTTGTACGTGTTTTATTTGAATTAGCACGATTTCATGCACCATCAACTATCTTTTTGGATGAACTTGATTCAATAATGAGTCAACGTGGTGGTGGTAATGCTGGATCGTAAGGAAAGACAAAATCGATTATATAATTTATTTTATTCGATTGATTTCAGTGAACATGAAGGTAGTCGACGAATGAAAACTGAAATACTCGTACAAATGGATGGATTAGCAAAATCTGATGATCTTGTTTTTCTTCTTGCTGCATCAAATTTACCTTGGTATAATTTAAATAAATATTTAATAGAAAAATAATATTTGATTTTCTAGGGAACTTGATCATGCCATGTTAAGACGTTTAGAAAAACGTGTTTTAGTTGATTTACCATCGAGAGAAGCTCGTGAAGCTATGTTTCAACAACTTTTACCACCAACAGTTATTCATGATAATAATGGTCTTATATTATGTTCTGAACTTGATTATACTCGATTAAGCAATGTTTGTTTTGAATTTATTTGACTTTTTAAAAATAAACAAGCTTTATATTGATCTATTTCAGTGCACAGAAGGTTATTCTGGTTCAGATATTAAATTAGTTTGTAAAGAAGCAGCAATGAAACCAGTGCGAAAAATTTTTGATATGTTAGAAAATTATTATGATGGTAAAAAACAGAAAACGTGATAGAACAAAAATAAATATTGAAATTTTATTTTAGATGTGGAAATCGGACAATCTATTGAACTTGATTCAATAACAACAGCTGATGTTGAAAAAGTTTTATCAACAACAAAACCATCAGCACGTATATATCAAGATAAATATACGGAATGGCAAAATGAATTTGAATCTGTTTAAAATATTGCTCATGCTTTTTTTGTGTCTTACATATCGCTGATAATTGGATGCACTTATTTTATAGAATATTTATATTTATTTTTTTATTATTCAAAACAAATAAATTTATATCACAGATAAAAATTTTCATAAACCTGACATGATGTATTTTTATTTCGTAAGAGATCGTTTTTTTTTCATGAAGGACCTGTTGTTACACGATTACGTCGTTGACAACAACATGCATTTTGGAAAAATTCAAGTAATGATGAAGAAGCTTTTCTTGATTGAAGCCATTTGTCTTGATTTGGAATGTGAACAACTAGAAAAAAAAATATAGATTAATTTATAATCAAAAGAAATCGTCTTTTTTTTTGTTATTCAGAAAAATGAATAGGAAATCTGTTCATTGTTTAGTTCTTATCTATTGTGCTAGACAGATGATAATAGGATGATTAGTTTTGCTGTATTAATAGATTAAAATGAACGGTTGTTAAGATTTAACGCTCTAAAATGATAAGAAGAAAAGCTCTTTTTTCTTGTCAGATCATTTTTATAATTGAGATTACAATCAATGGATTACTAAACTAAGAATAGCGAAATATATTTTATATGTGATGTGTATTAATCTTAAAAGACAAAAACTGGAAAACTATAATTTATCTTAGAAGAAAAATAGATGTAATGAAAAGATAATTTATCATAGTTACACTAATGAGTTTTTGAAAGTTTTTTTTTGAGAAAGAATAGGAAATAAATAACCAATCAACTGTCAACAGCAACAGAGTATCGTTTAGCACTAGAATGCTCTTAAATAACAATAATTGCAGTTTGCACTGAAACTATTTTGTACTGTAAAACGTGATGATCATATATTAATATATTTATAAAGTTTGTCTGATAGTAACATATCATAAATCAATGAACTCGATCTTGTCATCATAGAACAATAAGAAAATAGTTTGAATTATTGATGTTCTATGTACTCTAGACAAAAGTCATGAGTAGTTATACTATTTAAAATTTGCTAATTAGACAAATAATGTTTTTATTTTCATACGTGATCCAGTTTTTTCTCCTGTTCTTAATAATCTAATAATAATTGAAATTTGTTGTATAGATGGTGATTTATATAATAATTCAACAGTTTCTTGATCACATATATTTGTTGAAAGAAATGATTGTAGATAATCATAATCTTTCTCCAGGAAATTTATCATTTCATCACTAGAGAATACAAATAAAGTTTTTTTTGTACAAAAGAATTTTTATTTCTCTTACGTAAAACGATATTTTCTTTCAAGTAATAATGTTAACCACGATAGAATAAATGCTGAAAGTATATTCTCATAAATATCTAATTTATTCTCAATATTTAAACATTCGATTTGACTGATAATTGGTTTTAAAAGTTTATCACAGGTATTAATCATATAAGATGTTTGTTGATATGCTAAACATAAGAATTACAAAGAAATATACAAGTTTGTATTTCGAATCAAATTTTTACTTATTCGCCATTCATTTGTTGTTGGCGGTAATTCAAAATTAAAATGGTTTGTTGTATTTACTTGAATACGCCGATATAATTTTAACATCGTATCATTTACAATTGTCTATATAAAAGTAAAATTAGATTTAATTCTTATGTTTTTTTTGAAAATATACTTGACAAGATGAATGTAATTTATTAACTAATTTTATTGATTGTTCACAATTTTTTAATTGTTTTAAAGTATCTATTAAACTTGAAATACTAATTGATAATTGCTAAATAGAAAAACACAAATATGAATTTAAAAGAAAAATGTTTTGTTACAAACCATTTGATCACTTTTACAAATAAGTAAAGCTCGTTCGAGTGAATTTATATTAATAAATGTATCAGCATGTTGATGAAGCCATATGATTAACAATTGAAATGTTCCTTCAATTTGTCGAGTTAAATTATTTATATTCGAAGAAATTATATTCGTGAAAAAAGCCTACAAGAATAAAAATTGTTTTTATGATTTCTAAATCTGCTTCATACATTTAAATAAGATGATTGATCCGAAAGAATTGTCATATATTGTAAAACAGATGTTATACGTATTAGACGAAGAAACATTTGATTAAGATTATGCCCAACAATACTTATATGAATATTATTGGAAAATGACACCGTTCGCCAACGATTTATCATAATTGTATTAATTAAAGTTTTACTAAAAACTAAATAGAGAAAAATTAATAATTATTAGTCCTAAACTATGTTTCAATCGGGTTAAATGAATTGTATCCCACGGACTTGGTGCTCGCTTTCAATCAATCTCGAATTATTCTATTTTTTTCAACGTTCCAATGATAGATCTTCACGTTTTAGAGAGAAGAAAGTTTAACTTACATAAATCCCAATCTCGATAAAAAGCTTGAATTGCTAATAAACAAAAACACCATTGTATAATCAAAATAAATTCATATTTTAAATTCATATCCGAACATTTAAAATTCATAATTAATGTCCAAAATGTTTCACTTGACCAAGGATTTATTGTTTGAATATTTAATTGTTCATTCGATAATATCGAAATAATATTTCGATAAAATTCTCGTTCAATTTTTATCCAATCATTTGTATTATCTAAATAATTAATATTAGAAATTTTGTTCCACATAAAAAGAAACTTAATATTTACTTAAATCATTTTCAATTTGTTCAAAATCTGTTAAATCAAATTGAAATGATGGTGTTAATTGTGAATGTGTTAAAATTGTTGTACGAATATTAATTTTATCCAATTGTAATAATGATCCTGATGGATCATAATGTTCATTATGATTTCTATTTGTTATATTATTATCATCAAAATTTATTGATATAGGTGAACTACTAAAAAGAAAACTAGATGACATTATACAATTATTATTATCATCGTCGTCATCATTCTCATTTGTTAATGAATTATAAGATGATGAAAATAATCGAGATGTTTGTTCGATAAGTGTTGAAGTTATCTGATTTGATAATGAAAATGATATTTGATTTAAATAATATGATGGAAGATATGAACGAAGTTCTTTTTCAAGATTATAAATTTCGGAATTAATCGTTGATAAATTATGTATCTGATTGATAATTTGAATAACTTTTTCATAGATTAAATTAAAATGTTCATCAAGAATAAAATAATCATCAACAGCATATTCAATAAATAAATATTGATAAGTATTTATATAATTTACAAGATCAGAACAATTGGAAACAATCGAGATTATTTGATCATATTCAATCAACATATCTGTAGTATATGTTGATAGAAAATTAAGAAATACATCGAAATGTTCTATTGCTGATGAAAATATATCAGATGAAATCGTTGTTAAACATGGAATGGAAGACTGAATTGACAATGTATTAGTAGAATCTATGAAATCTAAATATAGAATTAAATTTCAAACTATTAATTAGTTATTAGATATCAAATAAATATATTAGTAAAGTTCTTATAATGAAGTGGAGTGTTTTTATGGCTTCCTTCATCTTAACTTCAAAACAGTTATTTTATACTTTACTTACTATGGCAACGATCAATAAAATCTGTTATTTCTTGTTCAACATTTGCATAAAATTTAGTCATTATCTAAAATATTGAAAGAATAAAACTTCGTTTTTTTTCTCTTCGTTTAGTTTTAAAAAAAGAAAAAATTGTTTATTTACATAACTTAACGGAGAAGAAGAAAAATAATAATAATACTATTACTATGTTAGCCAAATATAAAAAAAAATACGATTCACAAGTAGAAACAGAAAACTTCATCAATAAAAATAAATAAGGCAATTAATTGTTATTTGAGTATTCTTTTATAAATGCGTGCTCAAGTAATTGATGGGATGATGAACGTCGATTTGGATCATGTTGAAAACATTGTTCGAGAAAATCAATACATTCATTTGATAAATTTAAATCATTTGGTATTGATGGATGATCACCATCAGCAATCCATTTAAGAATTTTTAAATAATAAACACTTGATGCTATTTTTGGATTACTCCATGGTATACGACCAGTTAACATATGTATAACTGTACAACCTAATGACCATATATCAGATTTAGTTGTTGTTTCATTTAATGTTATAGTTTCTGGAGCATAAAAAACAATTGATTCACGAATATTAATAACATCTTCGACATTAAGTAATGATGATTGTTTTTGCATAAATTTAAAATCATATACAAAATTTACATCACCTAATTTAATTGATTGTTTTGTTGAATCAGTTAAAAATATATTAACATTACGTATATCACGATGAATAATTTCTTTATTATGTAAACAAGATAAGGCAGATAATAATTGACGTAAATAACGTTGAACAAGAAATTCTTGAAAAACTATATTACCAGTTTCTGTTCGAATAATACCTTTATCAACATATGATGTTTCATGTATTGAACCAGTAAGTGATATTGATGAATGACGTGGTTCGAGATGTGAAGATGATGGTAATGATGTACCAAGTAAAAGTTGAGCAATTGTACCATAACTACAATAATCCATAAAGAATAATACATGATCATGTTCAAGTGCAATGCCATGATATTTTATTAAATTTTCATGATCGATATGTATTAATGGTATAAGTTGTTCGAGAACTTTAGCAATTGCTGAAGTATCATTATGTTGAATTATATATTGTTTATAACAGAGAATAATTTCTTTTTTATCATTTCGAGTAACTCGACATTGATATGCTAGAAATAAAATATTTTACAATGAATACGGAAATATGGAAAAAAGGTACTCTCATAACTTGTTAGGATCGAAGTAATGCAATCTTACTACAAAAAAATATTCGATACTTTTATCAGATAGCTCAAATTTTTTGGAGAACTCGGATTACATGAATAATTATCATTCAATACAGGTCTTATCAGCTAGTTCGATAATTAGAATAAACATAATTCTTATCCAGAGAAAGGAAATACTTGAAGATGTTTTTTATCTTACACTCGAATAAAAATAATACATCCTGTTTAGTGATTATAAATCGCAATTAGTTAATCTCTTTCTTTCAATATCAATTGAGTTTTCTTCAATGAACGAGGTAAATCATTAGAAATATTCTCCAATGAGATTCTTGTACTATTATTAACTAAACGAGACAATTTCTTTCTAAAAATATATAGATATGCTTTTAACTCAGTAGTAAGAATGTTTCCCTCCCAAGGAAAAAGTTATTATTAAAACGAGTGAATAATCATCATTCGGTTTGACTATAATAAGACGTTATTTTCTTACTTGTTGCAAATTGTCCACGAGAAAGAAGATTTAATTTATGAAAATCTCGAATTTTCAAACATGCTAATTCATCTTCCATTTTTTTCGATAATGCTAATGTTGTAGTATCACGTTGAATTTTTCCTATTAGGCCTTCTTCTAAACGTTGTCTATCAATACGTTTATCCATACGATTAAGTTGATCAATACGATTTAATCGTATTTTATTTTTCTGTCTTCTATTATAACCATGTTTAGTAACTGATGAATATTTCAATGTTTTTGATTGTGTATTATATAAATTTCGATTATTATTCTCATTAAAATTATTTAAATATTTAATAGTTGTTTTCATATTATTATAAAATTTTGAAAATAAATTATTATCAATCTGATTAGTAAATTGTAATGAACATATATGACGAAGAAAATGAATACCAGGTAATAACCACATTGGTATTGGTATAGAATATTTCGATGTTGTTATGGATTTTTTCTTTCGTACAAAATTTAACCAAATATTTGCAAATAATAATTGACGTTCAGCTTGACATTTTAATGTATCATATTCACATTGTGTTGCATAAAAACTTGTTTCACGAATAATATCCATTCCAAATGCAAAAGCACGTTCTTCAGTATGCTAAAAAAAACGTAATCAAACACACATTCTACATGTAAAAGATATTAAATATTTATTTTATTAATTTTAGACATGCTATGAATTTATAGAAAATTATTAAATAATTTCCTATCATATTTCAGTATAAAACGAGAAAGATCATGTCATAGGAAGATAGTTTGAAAAAATTCAAGAGATTCTCTTTCCAATGACGTCAACAAACATCATATAGAATTATTCCACTCAGCTGATCTCTTTCCGGAATGACGGCTTTGAAGAAAAGAATATTTTCATATACTTAGCAAATATTTGCATTATAAATAGACTGAAGTAACTATCAAAAAGTTTTATCACTGTTTTCAATTCTATTTATATCATTATATAAATACTTACAACATAATCTCGAGTATTCGATTTTTCAATAATGTATTCAAATTTTTCGACATTATTTGCAATACAATTACTTAAACTTAATATTGTATGAGCTAAATTTCTCATTGAATTATCAATTTTTTCAAAACATGAACGTTTTTGTAATAATTGTTTTGTTTTCGTATTAAAATTATATAGATCACTTTGTTGAACATTAACTTTTGATAAACGTTCTTTAAATGATTCTTCAAATTTTTCAAGATTATTTGTTTGCTGTGTTAAAAGAAATATTGTTGTTGTTTTCCAATGTGTATGTAATGGTAATATAGATGTTAAAATTTTATTTTCTGGTATTATATGTGTAATACCACGCCATTCAGATTCAAGTTCAACTGAAATAGGGATACAAAGAATGTAAACTAATGGTGGAGAACTTTCAGATGTTGACAATGATGGTTGTTGAGTAGAAGTTGGGGATTGTTGTTGTTGTTGTAATGGTGATTGATCATCATTTAATTCAGTAGATGAATTATTATTTGTATTTATTCGAAATGATGATGATAATGTTCGCATTAATTGAATTTTAGTTGGAATATCTTCAAAATATTCAGCAGGAGCAAAAAGAAGACATTTCGATAATGGTGAACCATCTTTTTTAGTTTGATTAGGACGATGATGATGATGATGATGATTTTCGGAATCTATAATAGAAAGAGATTACAAATCAATGTTTTCTTCAGGTTTATTTATCGGGTGGGCGGCGCTTATCAATACTTTGTCTAAGTCTCATTTTTCGGGTGAACAAATCGAAATTTCGAATGGACGCCACCCACCCACTAGACAAAACACTGTTACAACTCTATATTTTTTTATTTTCATCATTGGTCATGACAAATAGATATGTTTATGATGACTCTCTTATAAACGAGAAAAATCTAATGCTTGTTTGAATGTGAAAAAACAGAAGTGTTCTTCAAAACTCTTTAAAAGATGTTTTCTTTCAATTAGAAAATAATGAATAAATTTTCATACCAAATTTAATTCTTTCGAATCCAGCTGCTTTAAGAATAAGTAAAAATCTTTTACAAACAGGTTTTTGTAAATAAATATTAATTGTTAATGCACAATCATCATAAATCGTTTTAGCTTCACGTAAAATATTCATCGTTAATTTTTTTTCATATTTTCTATTCATTTTCTTTTTTATATGTTCAATTTTAATTGTTTCTGATGATGATACTGATGAATGAAATACATCAATATATTTATGAAAATGTTCGATTATATTTGAATACATATTAAGAAATTTTTCACCAAGAATCTCTTCAATATTCATCATAGTTGAATATTTTTTCAATGATTTCCATTGATCTTTTAACAACATAATACAATTATGATATAAATTTGAACGTAAAGATATTTCTATATAACGTTCAATATAGGTTAATATTTCATAAATTGTATCAATTATATTTTGATCAAATTGAATAAATTCATCTTCAATTAATTTTAATTCCGCTTTTTCTAAATTTATAATAGAAGAAGAATTATTCAAAGAAAATAAAATATTTACCAAACGTGTCTGTTATCATGAGTTTAATATAATGATGTATTAATGTTGCACTATGTATTAGGATTTTACATTCATCGATTAATAAAAGAAGAGCACCTAATAGTAAAAACAGAAAAATACATTAAATCAGTTTATATCCAAAAAATGAATGTAAATTATTTATGAATTTTTAATTAAAACTGTGTTTTTGACTCTTTCTTTCTAATAAATGATGAATTTATTTTAAAAAATTTGACATATGAAAGAACTTAGGCGATGGGGAAATATTTTTGCGTATGACTTTTTAATATATTTTAATTCAACGTAGTGCTCATAAAATGATTGGTTGTAATGAAATTTCTCCAATATAACTATGCAGAAATCTTACTCGTATATATCATATTTGTTTATTAATGTAATTTGATAAGTTTATTCTATCTCATTTCTCTTTTTTTTATAAAAATAACCATAATTTAATTAAAAAGTTTAAAATAGAAATGTTTCTTGAAATATCTTAACATATCATCTATATTTTATACCATCGAGTTTAGTCTGTGTCAATCAGATTGCAACTCTAACGATTTCTATGATAACAAATATGAGCCTTAAAAAGTCATGAATCCGTAAAAGTCTTAAAAATGACTATTTTTTTCTAAAAAAAATAGACAAGCTTCTTTTATTTTAATTAAAAAGAAAAACAACATGTAGTCTCAATAAATACTAACTACTATTTTAAAAACGTTACACCTACGAATGTAAGATATTGTCTAATACCTACTAATCGTTTTATATGATTTTTAACATATGATTACCTGTAGTTGGTGTTTGTTCCATTTTTTTATCGTGATGATATTTTTGCCAAGCAATCATTAAATCTAATGGAATTTGTACAAGAAAAACATATTGTGGATAAAGTGATGGTAAACGAAATATATCGCACATATCTGAAAATCTTCCGCTATCAACCCAGACGTGTTTATCATAGAGACGATGACATATTGTTAACATTTTTGCAATTAAAATATTTTCATCAGATGTTAATTGAGAATAGAAATTTAATGGTGAATTTTCAAGAAATAAACATGGATCAGGAAATAATGTTGAGCCAGGTAAATGTGGATATGATGTTGAATCAAGATAATCAAGAAAATAAGATTGACGTTTAAGTATACTTCGGTCATGTGATAATAATTTTAAAACTAATGTTGGTGCTGGAGCTGGTGTAAATGTACTTGATGTTAATGTTGGATTTTGATCAAACCGATTGAGAATATTATTGACTTTACCAGAATAAATTCCTTGAGATTTTATTGTAGTTTTATTTGCTATTTTAATTAAAAATTCATATCAAATAAATATTAAATGAAAAACTTACTAGAATTAGGATTTTTATATTTTTGTAATTGTTTATTAAGAATAAAAAATTCATCAATTAATTTATCAGGTTTAGCATCCAATAAATAATCATTGGGAATTATATTTGGAGGAAAATATGGAAAACTATTCAATATATCATCGAATGTTGATGAACTTATTCTATGCTTTTTTCGATAAGTATAACGTAAACGTTGTAATAGAGGACCATGTTTAGAACGAAATATACTACCAATTAGTTCAAGACGAGCATGTGTTACTTGATCATCAATGTATCTAAAATATACATATTAATTAAGAATACTTTTATAACCGTCAATCGAATTTAGAGTATCTGACGTCGTTATAAAGGAAGATATCTATTTTAAGATCTGTAAAAGTTTCATTTCGTTTTTAATGAAAAGTAGATATCGGAAATCGTAAAGTCTATGATAGTATCTCTTCATGCTTCTTTTCTATTTATTAATATTACCTATAATAATATTCTGTTAATGATGAACCGGAAGTTAATGAATGTTGATATAAGCTATCCATACTTGACATAGATGTTAATGTATTTTGACGTCTTGTTCTTGCATCAAGCGTTGTTAAAAAAGATAATGGATTAGGTGGAGATCCTACAATAGTATCTTTTTGTTCGTTACTCGATGTTGATGATGGTGTTTGTGGACGAGTTATATTATCATTAGATTTAGCTGATGATAAATTTGTATGATGTGGCCACATATAACACTGTGTACATGTCATAATTCGACCAAGAGTATTCATTAAACGGTTTATTTCTGAATATAAATTAAACCATGCTTGAAAAATAAATAATTTTTCATAAAAAATACCACCTTCTCTTGTCGAAGGATTGAAACGTTTGTCATATTGTTCAAGAGCTGAATAAGATGGAAATAATGATAATATATAATCCCATTTTAAAAATATATTTTGCATATATTGTTCAACTTCATTACAATGATTTAAATAATATTCACATAAATGACGACGTTGTATAGTTGGAATATTATGATAATTAAATTGTTCAAAATCACATTGACTAAAATATTTATAAAATTCATCAAGAGATTTTTTTCGTTGTCGATCAATTGAATGTTGTTCTATTTTAATACCATTTTCGTCTAATAAATTATTGCCATTAAAATATGTTTTTAATTCGTACCTAAAAAAATAAATATTTAAAAACTTATATTTAATTCAGCAATAAAGTAATTAAAATGAGTAATAGTGAATTCTAACAATAATTTATTTTAATTACACGTAAATTTATACAGAAAGGGACAATAAGGATTCATTTTATTAAAGTAAATTTCAATGTTGCATTGTAAGAAAGAGTTGTGTTATGTGATACATGTGTATTTTCTATTCCTTTTTTCCTTTTAGTTGGAGAACTTCACCGAATTTTCCTGACTTGGTTTTTTTTATTTAAAAGCATTCAACTTAAAGTGGCTTTTATAAAATTCTAATCGTATAGTCTAGAACAAAAATGTCTATTCGAATAATAATTCAGCATCCGAGACGATACAATGGCGCGGAATTCTTTGATCGGATATAGAAAAGTTGATGTGGCTCCTTCCTATCAGGTACATTTCCATCTTGATTTTTCTTAGATTCTTCATTTTCTTCACTAAGATATATCTACGTACGTGTGATAACAGAGGGGCTTTTTTTCGAAAATATATGTGTTACGGATCTAACACATTTGTTTATAGAAATACGTAAGAATAGAAGGTAGCCCACCGAAAGCATAAAATTTTGTTATTGCTAAAATAAATACTAGTCCTATTTAAAAAAAAGTTTTTCATTTACCATAATGCTGTTGAATATTGTTTTCGTTTATCCTCAGTAATTTGATTATCAGGTATATAATTTATATTTGAATTTTGATCGAATTCAAAACATTCATGATATTCTTTAATGAGATTAATAAGTTGATCTTCACGTTGTTCACCGGTTGATTTATTTCGAATAGGTAACTTATATTTATCATCAAAATGAATTGAATGAGATTTTTTTTCTTCATATTGTTTAGATTTATCTCCTTTCTTCGATGTTCTTAGTGGTTTTGTTGTTAATAAAAAATTTTTCTTTGATACAGAAGTTTCAGTTTTTAATGATGAAGCTGTTTTATTATTAGGATTAATTGATAGAATAGATGATGCTGATGATATTTGTTTATCATCAATATCTGATGCAAAATTAGCAGTAATAGCTCGAAAAAATTCATGATCTATATTGGCTGATGATTGTTCAGAAGAAGTATCAGATGATTGTGGTAATTGAGAAGATATTTTACTAGATGTATTTGATCGATCTCGATCTGCATAAGATCTACGTGATGACTTCGAAAATTTATTTTGACGAGCTTGTTGTGATTCATTGCTCATTATCTAAAAAAAAAGGAAGAGAAGCAATGCCCTTAATGTCTGTATTATCTGTTCTAAATAGTAGAAAAAAACACGCACATGCCTAAAACTGATTTAACACACACATAAATGAGATTAATTCGTCTTATTTATAAAAAAATATTTAAAAAAAATATAAAATGTTTTTTTGATTTATTCAACAATAGTTTCTTCAGTATATTTTTCAATAATAGTTTTAATTAATTTACATCTATCACGATCACATGAACATGGTATAGAATGTTCATTTGAATCAACATCATCATCACTATTACTACTTGTACTATCACTTGATGTATCCTTGGATTTATTATCAGTTGTAGTTCGTTTATCAGATGAAATAGTTGATGAACGTCGTCTTTGTCTTCTTCGTATATTCCATTCAGTATTTGAATTATCATCATCGCAACCAATATTATTCATTACTCCTCCTTTAATTTTTTTTAATGATATCGATATTTGATATTGTCGTCGATTTTCAATTGATTGTTTTAATTTAATATTAACTGGTACAACATCACCTTTTAATGGATAAATATCTTCAGGTAAAAAAACAAGTGTCTGTTTCCAATGTGTTTTTGTTGAATAGGGACTTGTTGTTAAACGTGTTGAACGTAATATCGATGAATTATTATTTGAAGAAAAATAACAATCAAACCAAAAACAAAAACCTGATATAATACATGTATTATCTATATCAAATTCACAAAATGAACGTAATAAACGAAGATCATCGATTTGTATAGTACGAAGATCAATTGATTGTATAAGTTGAGCATCATGAACAAGTTGAGATGGTTCAATTGTTTCAATAACACATTCTTTAAGTTTAGAATTTTTTATGTGTGAAAGTATAGGTGACATATTTAAATCAAAATAATCTTTCCACATTGTATTTAATTCAATACGAATATTTTGATCAACAAATGGAGCACAATACTAAAAGAAAAAAAAAGGAATATTTTATTAAAAATTTAATTAACTATAAATATAACAAACCAAATAAGCATGTGAAGGAAATATTATAATTGATTCATTTTGATCAGGTGTTATATCATCATTTTGAGATGGTAATGAAAGAAAATGATTACGAGCGTATATAACTGATTCAAGCATACTTTCATGAAAGAGATAAAAACCTATAAAGATTAAATAAGTTTTTAAAAATTTTATTTTTTGTTAACTTTTACCCATCCATTCACTTATGATAATATCAATAGTTTCATCAAATTTTTCAATATCTTCAATACGTTTATTAATTACATGAATTTTTTCTTGTAAACGATTCGATTTAATTAGTTCTTCAGCTAAATGACAGACTGTTGGACAAGCATCAACAGCATAAACAAGTTTAGCACCAGCTTTAGCGGCAAACATACTTAATATTCCTGTCCCAGAGCCAACATCAAGAACAACCTAGATAAAAAATTTCAACAAAAAAAAAGATATACATATTTTCTATTTAATTAATAAATATACCTTATTTTCAAATAGATGTTTATTGTTCATAATAGCATCATAATATGCAGTAACACGTGGACGATCACGTAACATTAATTCATGAACTTGAAAATTATCGTATGATTTAAAATATTCTTGATCGTTATCAGTATGATTCATGTTTTTTTTGTAGAATCTATTATCTAGAACAAGAAATTTCGTTTACCATCAGTTTTTCTCTTAAAATATAGGATTTTGTTCTAAATAATAAATGTTTTTTGTATTATATTTAAAAGTTTTCTTACTAATGATTTATTTCTTTTTACAATTTAACATTTAGAATTTTTATGAGACTTTTATTCACATATATATGTCACTACTACATTTGATATTTACGATTTTGATTTATTCGTATATCGATTTATTGTATTAGAACTATTCGAAGAAATTTTTCGACTTTTATTATAAACTATATTGTTCTCAGTTTAGCCTAAATCCAGTTTATGAATTGCAACGATTTTATGCATTGGTGACAAACGAAAGCAAACATTTATTCAGACAGACTGCGATCGAAGAATAGGAAGTGTATCCTGTTCCGAGAAATTTTAGTTGAACGTTCTTTATATTGCAGATCTGAAGAAAAATTTTCTATGAATTTTCAATTGACTCCGTCGCATTGTCCTTGTATTCATCAGATTCTATTGTTATTATCTGAGACTAGTTTACAATAAATATTATTGTTCTAAAGTAAGTGCAAAAGAAAGATAATATTGACACAGCTAAGAGAAAACAATCTATATATATTTATATTCATACATAAACTAAAGTAGATCGAACATCAACTGTTGTACTCAAGTCAACTGTTTGGTAGTAATTACCGGATGTATAGCTGACTAAAAGCATAAATATTATTAATGAAATATGGACGTAGAGAGTAAAAGCAATCATAAATACTTACATTATAGTGATTAACATAAGTTAATAGAACAGCTGGATTACATAAATAAACAATATCCATTAAATTACTAATATCAATAGTTATTAACATTTATCAGACTTGAAATGATTGTTCAGCTAATCATTTTCTCATAAAAAAATAACTCACGAAACGTATACAATGAACTTGAACAAAACATAAAGAAATTTATTTTAGTCATATGCCGTTTTTAGATTAAACTCAAAATATTGTTCTCAATAGAACAAGCAAAGAAATTATCATTTATTATTAGCAATATCTAGACTATCTTTAATCAAATTAGATTACATAGTATTAAATAATAACAATTAGCTCTTTGAGTATTTCTCATAACGTTAAGCATTGAAGATATTATAATGCTAAGTTTGTTTAAAATTTTGTATATTATTGAAGTGAAGTTATTTTTAGATATATCAAATTTCTACTAGAAAACAATAGTATTGAATGTCATGAAAGATAGTTAGATAACTGATGCGCATTAACAAGCTATTTTTATGCTTCACTTTTTCAAGGCTTTGAAGAATTTTACATTTGAATAAGATTGTTTGTCTGCCTTTTTAAACCATTTAAAATACGATATATTCCTGATGAATTAGAGAAAATAATCAGAAACGAAATGAGATAAACAAAAGAATATGATAATAATAAAACTAAAGATGTGTAAGAAAATTCCATAGAAAATAAGATGATGCATGAAATTAGAATCATAAATGTGCTTGAAAAGACTTTTTATGTATATCTGTCAATGCTTTATGGGTGATTAACCAATGTGAAAGCTTTACACTCGTATCGTTTGTTATCTACTATCTAATTTATTTTACATATACAATGAATCGAATGTAAATTCAAACTAGTATTCTTAATGCTGATTAACTATTTTTTTGTTTCTTCTTAGATGTGAAGCTTATAATACGAATCGAAATAACTTACGTTATTTTTTGTCTTGTATTAATTTCTGATTCGATAGTTTAATAAATCAAGCATATGATCAATGAAATCGGGATCTCGAGATTTTATATGTATATATCTGAATGAAAAAGAAAATATGAGATGATCTTTACCTATGTTATGTGAAAATAATCATCTCATTGTTAAATGGTATTTAATTACATATTTATCTCATACAGATAAGACGAAACACAAAAATGGATTGACTTTTACTTAAGAAAATGACTGCTCGTTATGAATAAATAAAGTTAGATAAACATTCTATTGTAAATTCAAATCATTAACAGATAAAAAAAAAGAAATCGTCTAATTCCGTGTATAGATATATTATATCAAAATGCATATATAGAAAAAAAACGTAGATAAAGAAAATATATGTATCTATTTATAAAAAAAATCACTGATTGTTTTCCAATTAATAAAAACAAAAATGTAAAGATGAATGGATGGAATAGAAAATAAATATTACAAAGATATTAACAAAAAAATGCTATACAATGAAAAAAAAATTACAAATATTAGAAGTAAATATGAAAGAATATATTTCACATAATCATTAATTACTTTTGGAAGTTTTTGTTTTTAATTATTGCGGTGTTAGTAATGGTACTGAATTAGATTCAAGGATATCTTTTACAATTAAATGACACGGTAATGTTAAATATGTAAGACAAGTTTGTAATGGTATTGTTGGCATAGATTGATCGAGACGAGTATTTGAACCACGTACCCAATTCATTGCTTTATTTAATCCACGACCAAGGAAACCACCTGTTTCATCGGATAAATCTAAAACTGACAAGATAATAAAATTTATTTTAAGAGATTTTCAAAAAAAAATAAACCTTGTCGAATATCATCTGATTCAACTTCTGATGTTATTCCATTCGATGCATTCTGTTTCGATTGTGATACAGATGGGACCCATTGATTATCTTTACCATCAGTATGTTTATTCCACTATATAATAGATGAAAATCAATTTTATTTCCTGTAATAATTACTTTTGTATACATACGTTTTCTTCTTCAAAAGTAGCTTTCACCGGTGTTGTTGGAATTGATTCAGGTGTTGTCGTATCAGACTGAGTCGGTCGATATCTACTGACAGCCATTTCTGCATGACCTTTACCCTATAATGAAATTTTCTCATTAAATATTCGATATTTAATTATTGAGTTTTGATAATATAAGTTAAAAATGTTTTATTAAATACTTACATTCGGTCCACGCATTCGTACAAATTCAACTCTGTGCTTTGTATACATTCCTAAAGTCATTCGTTGAGCAACACGAGTACTTGTTGTAGCCTAGAAAAATATCTTAAATTCTAAAAAAGTTTCTATATAGACTATTTTATCTTTACTCGAGTTTCATAAACTTTTTTTAAAGCTTCATATTTAATTGAACCAAGAAATAAGACTTTTTTCTCATTCAGAACTGGATTTGTTGCGACTAGTTCAACACATACCATTTGATCTTCATTTACAACCATTTCACAAAAAGTCTACAAGAAAATAATTATTTAATAATCAAAAGTTTATCTTTTCATAATCTTACATCTTCAAAATTATCGACACTAAAATAAATTTTTGGATAAGTGATTGCCTCTTCTGTGCCTTTATTTTCCATGTCACGATGTGATGGACTTGCATAAACTCTCTTTTAAAAATACAAATAAATTAATATAGAAAATGTATTGAATAGATTTTATTTACTGTTGATAAACGTTTAATAATCTGTAGATGTCTACTACTTGTTTTAATACAGATAGCTGTTGTTACTGTATATTCGAATTGATGAAGAACAAGATTTAGATTTGTTGTTTCTTCCCAATCATAATCAGGTGAACTCTAAATTATTTTCTATAAGATAATTTAAGTTTTTCAAGATTCTTACTAATTTCGGTTGGCGTTTGACATCATGATGGCGAAAAACTTCTACAGAATTCTTTAAAAACAAATTTTCTTATATATAAAATTAAGATTTATTTATTATTCACTTACTTTTGAACGTTGTGAATCATTTACGATTTTACGCGTGACATAAAAAATTAGATCATCATCACTCGTTGTACTAGTTGATGTTTGAGGAAGACGGTCTGTTGGTGATAAAAAATATTGCTCGAATATCGTTGGCCATTCATTATTAACTGCTTGAACAACTACAAAATCTTCATCTAAATGAATTTTATAATTATTTTTAAATTATATAGATTAAAATTACCATCATCTGATTTCGATTTTTTTCGTTCTTCGATCAATTTCTCGAGCAGACTTCGAATTGTTAAAGTCATTTTATACAAATCAAATAAACTAAACTAAAAAAAACGAATAACGTAAAAAAAAACTTCGGATAAAATCTATTGGTTAAAAAACTAACGATTGATAAAATCAATAAATTTTTACTAAAAATTTAAATAAATTTCTTTCTTCTAACAAATATTATTTTCTTTTCTATTCAAATTTCATTCAAATGCATTTTTTCAAATCATCTATACATTTATGAAAGATAAAGCTGAATCATTGAAGAAAATCAAAATGGCGTCTTGTGTTCTTCCTCGTTTGATGATTATTCGATAGAAGAATAAGAAAGAAAGAAACTTACCGATTCTAAACGTACAAATGAATATTTTGTTTTTATGAAATAAAGAATAAATATTTATCATGGGTTGTGCTACAAGTCAAGACGAAAAAAGACAAAAAGAAGTAAGTTATTCATTCGATCATAGTCGTCGATTTTTCTTTACTATTGTATTATTCTTCGATTTCAGAAGTTATTTTTTTTATGAGTAAGATATATTAACAATTTTGCCTTTAATTGATTAACAAAATACTTTTTTTTTCTGATAATACATTAAAATGCTTTTCTAATACATTATTTAGTATTGATTTTTTTTTTGTAATAATATAATATTCTTTTCTTCTATTATAGTACAGCAAAGCACTTGATCGCCTGATAAAAGAAGATGCTGAAAGAGCAGCAAAAGATGTTAAACTTTTATTACTCGGTATGTAAAAAAAACACAAATATAGTATGAATATATTTGCATCTAATTTTTTTTCTTCTAAATTTAGGTGCTGGTGAATCGGGTAAGTCGACAATTGTTAAACAAATGCGTATAATTCATCAACATGGTTATACAAAAGAAGAATTTGAACAGTATCGTCCAGTTGTTTATTCAAATACAATTCAATCATTAGGAGCTATTATTCGAGCTATGAATATGCTTAATATACAATTTGCATCAGCTGAAAGAGAAGCTGATGCTCAACGTGTACTTGAAGTTATCCAACGTATGAAAGATACAGAACCATTTAATAGTGTATTATTATCATCAATGGAACGTTTATGGGCTGATGCTGGTGTTCAACAATGTTTTTTACGTAGTAATGAATATCAATTAAATGATTCAGCACAATATTTTCTTGATCAATTATATCGAATTGGTTCACCAGATTTTCTACCTAATGAACAAGACGTTTTAAGAACACGTGTAAAAACAACTGGAATAGTAGAAATTAATTTTTCATTTAAAAATTTAAATTTTCGATTATTTGATGTTGGTGGACAAAGATCAGAAAGAAAGAAATGGTTTGTTATATTATTATTTATTTTTTTTATCATTAAATAAATTTAAATTTTTTTTATAAAAATTAGGATTCATTGTTTCGAAGATGTAACTGCTATTATATTTTGTGTGGCATTATCTGAATATGATCAAGTGCTTTATGAAGATGAATCAACTAATCGTATGCATGAATCCTTACGCTTATTCAATAGTATTTGTAATAATAAATGGTTAGTAAATGTTATTTGTTAATTTATAAAAAAATATATTTCTATATTTTTGTTTAGGTTTGTTTATACGGGCATTATATTATTTTTAAATAAAAAAGATCTATTCGAAGAAAAAATCAAACGTTCACCATTAACACTCTGCTTTCGTGAATATACGGGACCAAATGAATATGATCCAGCTGCTGAATATATTCAAGCACAATTTGTTTCTAAAAATAAATCAACACAAAAAGAAGTCTATTGTCATCATACATGTGCAACAGATACACAAAATGTTCAATTTGTATTTGATGCAGTTACTGATGTAAGACTTTTCTTTTATTTACAAAAATGACGTCATTCACTTTCTTATTATTTATTCTATAGGTAATTATCACATTAAATCTTCGTGGTTGTGGTTTATATTAAAATGATACTCAAAACGAAATATCAACAATCGAAATTTACTATTTACTATATATATTTTTGTTCTCTATTAATCTTTACTCTAATATTTGTTTAAAGAAAAACAAAACTCCAGTGACTTTCTTTCTCTTTCACATGACAACTCTAGACAAGTTAAATGGACAGTGAACAAAAGAAAATAACAAATTGCATGGTTAACATACAATATAATAAAATAATGCACTATTCCACAATAATTTCCCTCTCATATTTTTTTTCTATTTCATTTGTATATGTTGTCAGATGTGTGCATGTGACAGTTTCTCCCTCCTTTGTTTGTCTCACTAGTCGATCTGTTTCGCTTTATTATTAATATTTAACATATACAATGTGAAATGTTCTTAAACTTACTTTTTTTTGTTTGCTTTTTGTATATTAAAATCGAAAAGATCTTTGTATGTCTACCTATATTCAAATGAAAGAGAAAAAGAGTGTATAAAAAACAAAGTATATATATAGTTACTTCGTATTAAAATACAACCAATTTTTTTTTGTTCGCTATTATATTATTTGATGCTGACTAGTCTTTATTTACTATAATTATGTACGCGTCGTGTGTTTCTTCTTTGCTCAGAATCTTTTTTTTTTTGACATAAATAAATTAATTTCGAATACACGATTGTCTTTTCTTTCAAATTAATCTTTTAGATTTTTGATTTTATCAAAGGTAAAATATTTAAAAACTAAACTAACCTGAAGTAATTGATTTCAATATCTATAAATGTAGATTTAATATCAGAAGAAGAAGAAGAAGAAAAAATGATATCGATCGAAATATTTTGCTTTTAGAAAAATAAAACTAGATTTTGATCGACTAATTAGTTTTTTTATATTATATCTATATTCTCAGTTAATTAGTTCCGTACATTTAATAATGGATGATTGAATACTTTTATAGATAATTGTAATATAAAGTTTTACTGTTTATTACATTGCGACTGACGATTTTTATTAATTAATAGAACCTGTCAATATCATGAAATTTGATTTCTTATTCGAGGTTATCATCTCTATTAGAATAGAACATAAGCTGATGAGAAGAAAAAAAAGAGAAAAAAGAAGAAACGAACAACTCATGTATAATAGAAATCATATTTATTTGAATCTATCGTATTGCATGCAGTACAAACATATTTTTGATTATTGTTATTTTTGAGTAATATAATTTGTTTTTTTTAAAGAATAATGATGAAAAAAAAACATCAATAACTGAAGTTATGTGTAAAGATATAAATAATTAACGACCTTTTCTCTATAAACATATGTAATTCTATATTTACAGATTAATATTGATAATAGCATAAGTATAGTCTTGAAAATTCTAAATTTCCCAACAGATTAATGTTAAGTGTAAAATATGTATAGGCATTTTAAAAAGATGAGAAAAGATGTACTGATATAGGAAATAGAACATTGAATAACATTCTTCAGGGAATGAAAACCAAAACAAATATACAATTATTATGAAACATTTCCATACTAACTATATTACCACATTACTTTTATAAGTATTAAAATAATTAGACACCATCTTATAAGTATATCTTGTCTTTTAATCCAGAGATAGGTATATAAAAACAAATCATAGTTTAGATTCCATTTTATAATTAATTAGCTTTTCGTCTGGTGTATCGTTTTCTTGAATAGATATTAAGCATAAATCTTATATAGATAGAATAGAATAAAAAAATTGTTTATTTTTAGTAAGTTTTAAAAGATTATCTCTAAGGTTATATAGACCTATTACTTGAAGAATAGACTAATCAAATCTAAATGTATTTATTTCGTTCTGTGCTTTCTTTCTTTTATTTTTACTTCTATCTTTCTTTTTATACAATTTAATTAGAACAATTATTCATAATAGAATTAGAATCTCGTAGATGATCATATATATATATCGAAATGTTTTATCAATTTGTAGTATATTTCTTTATTGAATTTCTTTAGTTTTGATCTTGTTTGATTTTATGAATTAAATTTAATATAAATATAATTGTATTCATTCGAATGTAATTATTGATTTAAAAAAAATTCAATTCTATGACTAGCGTCGGTTTTTTTATTTATTCTTTTCTTTTAATTTGCATAAAGGTTGTAAAAAACTGTTCTGTTTACAAACACAAACACACACACGAATTTATAAGTTCCTGAGCATAAGAGAAAAAAAAAGTAAGATCATATACATAGATATATGTACGATATTATAATGGCACAATTAATCAATTGAAGACAAATATAAAAAGAAAAAGGAAAAAGAAAAAGAAGACAAAAAAAACATAAATAAACAGATTTCATTTCTTATGTTGAAAAGTTAAATAACACCTTCAATTGAATCAGTATCTAGATTAAGTATAAGAATTTTAATAAACAACATTTCTTTTCTTGCATTTTCAAATATAACTTTTGCGTCATCTGAATCACATCGAAGTATATTTGGTGCAAATACCATTGATAAATTATTAACATCCATTTTAGTTATAGTAACATTTTCAGGTTTAGCAAATATCTAAAAGAAAAAATCAGCTTCTATTTATTTAGCAAACAAATAAATATTATTACCTGAAGAAAACGAATAAGATATGTTAATACAATTCGATTTATTTCAGGTAATGAATTAACAAGACGTATGCATGGTTCTACTTTATCACAGTTTAATATACATTGTTCATAGAATATTGATGGAATTAATGGTTCAGCTAGTTCACGATACCAAAATTTTAATAGCGAAGCGGGTAAATGAGCATCTTCAACTGATGGGAATTGCCATTGATCACATTTAACTTTTAAAGCATTTACACTATCCAAATCACCAGGTACTCTTTAAAAAAAAAAAATATTTGTTTTCAAGTAAATAAGAAAAAAACAATAATTAATTATTAAAACTTACCGAAATATACCTTCTATTTGTGCACCATTTAATCGTAAGACTTCGTCGGATAAAATTGTTTGAATCCATGGTAAACGTCGTTCGGGATATCGTGTTCGTTGCATTGCCATTACTTCTTCAAGGGTTGTGCCAAACATTGAAGGAAAATGAATTGTATGCTAAAACAACAAAAAATGATTTATGATGAATATAAATGTGTAGAATTAACGAGCCATAACATCAAGTATTTTTTGATAAATTACTATTTTATATGATCAGCAAATATAGACAATAATGTTAGATATAAATAGATTCTGTCAGAATTTAAATGAGAAGGACATAGAGTATAAATTGTTCATGTCAAACTTAGTCTTATAGAATTTCATGATATTGTTAATATTTATTTTTATTTTACCTTTGAAAGTTCAATTTCTTCAAAAGTTGGCTTTTTTAAACCTTTCTTTGGACCAGTTTGAAGAATTTTTTCTAAGCGTTTTTGACAAACTTTAGCATAAATTGATATGGGTACTTCGGGTGTATCAACATTTCCATTTGCTTGTAATGATATATAACGTTCAATTAACACTTGAAATTTGCCCGATGGTGGAAAAAATGAAAGACAAATAGCTAAAACAACAACAAAAAAAAGACCATATTTATAAAATAATCTAATTAAATTTTATTTTTCGATATTTTACCCATTAATTCCCATCCACGTTGTAAACTTTCAGCATTATAATTATAAGTTGTTTGTTTAATTAATTGTAAATAAAGTTCATCACGTATAGACGGTAAACTCCAACCTTTAGTTGTTAAATCTAAACATGTATTTAATGAACCTATTTGTTTAGATTTTCTATCTCCCATATATATTTGTATAAGTTTAAATATTTCCGGTGCTTCTTTTTTAAGTATTTTATCAATTGTACGTAATAATGGTTTTGTTATAGTTTCTTTTGACCATGATAATAAATTATCTTGTGTTAAACGTTTACTAAAAAAACTTCGTTTATGTATATTTAAATTTAACATTTCATTAAAAAGTATATCTGATTCAATTTCATTAATTGTTAATGGAGATTTAGTTGATGATAATGATGATGAAATCCATTGTTTTTGTACAGATGTATGAAGATTTTTTTTATTATGACATAAACCATTGAAATGATTTGATACAGATCGAGTTAAATTTGGTGATGATGTATGAATTCTACTTATATCATGTGATCGATTCATTGCTGTCATAAAAAAAAGAAAGAAAAGTAAATATACATATAATGTCGATAAATAATATTTACATTGAGATGTCATTGATGATGAGTTTGAATAAGTATCATAATAAATAGGTAAAATAGATGATGAAACTGTTGATGTATCTGAATTAGTTCGACATTGAATACTCGAGTTATTATTAGCTTTTTTATCACCTGAAAAAACAAAAAAAGTAATCATGAATGATTTCGTTCCGATATTTACTATTATTAATTATTTTGATCTTTTGAAAATTGGCACTGAGTGGATCAGTTGTTGAGTGGAATAAAAACTCTAAAACAAAACAAAAAGAAGAATATCTTTCCTTATTATTTATATTTCTAGAGATTAATTTCTTACCATCATTACAAGTAACAAATTGTTTCATTACAGGATCAGTTGTATTTGTTAATTTATGATGATTATTATTATTAGTTTTATTTTCATCATAATTTGATGATGATTTTTTATTTTTTATTGATTTATTCTTTTCTTTACTATTCGGTTTATCGAGACTTATTGTTTCATCACTTGGAAAATACATATTCGATTCATTGAGATATGCTTGAGAATTACATAAAATTGATTCTTGTTCTGATGAACTATTTGATGATGATGAATATGTTAATGTTGAACATTTGGGTATATCATCAAGACGAATATATTTACTCCGTAGTGAACCTTCATCAGTTTTAACTTCAATATTAACATAATTTGGATTTGTACGTGGTTGCTTTTTTCTTATATTATTACGTCCAAATGATGCACGCGTTAATTTCAATGAATTTAATTGATTATTATGAAATAATTCTAATGATGGTGTACTAATGTGACGACTGAATATATGTGGTGATTGTTGATAATTAGTTTCTTGTTTTGCTATTTGTAATGGAAATGAAGGTTTCAAATGAATACTTTGTGAACGTTTTGTTAAATGTAATGATTCATCTAGAGAGAAAAAAACGAGATTTATGTTAACCTAATAATTTAAAAGATAATAGTGAAATACCTAAGGAATTTTGTTGTTGATTAGAAATAATTGAATAATTATCGTAATGCTTATTAGATTTTCTATTTAATGGATAATGTATTGAATTAGTTAGATTGTCATATGTTGATTTATCATTTTTTGTTTTATTCAAATTCATAGAAGATGTAAGATCATTTGTTATTGATGACGAAAGTATATCATGTGGATAGAAATTATTTCCTGTTCGGCGAATCGACTTAAAAAAGAATATTAATAAATAATTCATTATTATTTTTTTTTTGTTAATCTTTTATAGAAATTATAATTACTCGTTGTGTTGTTGAATGAGATGTTGGTGTAGAAAGTTTAAATTGTAATTCATTTGGTATTATATTAAGACCTTGTAAAGATATTTGTTTTCGTTTATTATTTACTGTAGGTGATATATTATTTGTTTTAATTAATTGCTGAACCGTATGATTAACAGTGGATGTCGGTGGAATAATTATCGTTTGTTCATCTTTAGGTTGTGTATTTTCTTTGATCATCTATAGATATATAGATATATATATATATATTTATAGGAAAGAAAAAGAAATGAATACATTGAAGAAATTGACCATGATTATGCCAAGATGAGAAGAAAAGAGAAAGAGAAAAACTAGAAAGATTTACATCATCATCTATATTACGGATAGAATATATATATCTATCTCTCTATATATATATCTCATGGAGAGAGTCAATGATGATTAATATCCAGCACATGTTTCTTTATTCATCTTATACTAACAAGTACAACAGAGAAATCAATTATGCAATCCACTTGAAATACCTGTAGTTTAGCCAGAGGAATGATATCAGCACTTGGAGGTCGTTGCCAAACAGTTCGTTGAGTTTTTGCATTATAATAATAATTACGTTTAGTACTGGCATCAAATAATTCCCACCATTGATTTTCATCTGTACGTTTACTAAAAAATAAGTTAATGAGAAAGAAGAAGAAGAAAAAAAAATTAGATATAAAATAATGCCCAAATGTTATAATAACATTATACATATATTCTTTGTGATTCTTATATTTATTCATATTATGTCATTTTCTATTGTTCAAGTAAATATATTTGTTTGGTTTCTTATCAGACAAAACGACCCGAAGGTCACACATTTTGTATATAATTTTTTTTGTAGTCCATATAAGCAGAAAATATGGATGTATACTGTCAAGAAGTTGATTACATCAAGCAATTTTGATAATACTATCTGTCTGGTAAATATACGATGATGTAGATCGATTTGCTAATTGA